CAGGCTAGAGAAGCGCAGGACCGGCCGGCAGGGCCGCACCCCGCGCTGGTGCCGGGTGGCCCCGAGCACAGCGCAGCCCAGGAGCCCCACTTCCTACTGCGCAGCGTGGAGGCGCAGAGCGCAGTCCACTGACTCGGGAGTCTTTTCTCCTGTCGAGAGGCAGTGACTCTTGTTCTGCGGCAAGCGAAACGGAGGAGTGAACGAGCAGTTAGAGAGGCTCCAAGGGCCCACGTTGCTGGTGTAATCGCTCTGCAACTCGCGAGCCCTGGCCCGGCCACCACGTCTCAGACTTCGCAGCAACAACTCTGGGCACCCACCGGCTACCCCGGAGTTCCCGCACCGGCGCTCAACGCCTAACCTGAGCGGTGACGACCCTAAAACAGCCGCCGCAGACGGCAGGTCCCTGCGTGTCTGGCGAGCAGGGGCTGCGGCGCCAAGCCACCCACATCCGCCGCCTCTGCCACAGGCTCTGGAACCCCGGGCCCCACTGGGCCCGTGTCCACGTGTGCCAACGGGGACGCCGGAGCGCCCCCTCCTAAGAACACGGCCAGCTTTCATGAGCGAACTCCGGCAGCGGGGGCCACAGGCAGGGCTTAGAGAGCACGGTCTGCCACTGCCATCCGCTCAGCCAGGTCCTCGTCCGAGGAAGCCTGTGGAATCAGAGACTTGCGGGCCGTGTGCTCATCCAGCACTTACTAAAAGCCTGTGCGCCAAGCACTGCACAAGCGCTAGTCCTGCCAGGGGCTCAGCCTCGGCCTCCGCGACAGGACTCACCTGGAGGCTTGCACAGCGCCCGGCACGCAGCGGGCGCCCCGCGAACGCTGTCTTTAAGCACTAATTACAGAGCTGCTCTCTACAAGCCCGGACGCGAGCTCCGTGTCCATGTACCTTTGCGTCCCTTCAGCGTTGCCGGCTCAACACATGCTCCTCGCACTGAGTTGAACGACTGCCCTGCACGTTCTGCTTCCTAACATCGACACTTCCCAACGATGCAAGGAAAAAATTAATAAACAAACGGGGTCCACTACCTGGAGCAGCACAGACCGTCGGGCCTGCGCACCAGGTCGCGGCCGTCCGATCTCGCGAAGTCCCCGCCGTTATGACCCCCGGAGGGGCTGCGGGGCAACCTGCTCGGGCACCGCTTTCCCACACCGGCCCCTCCGGAGCCCCGACACCGCACTCCCCGCAGTTCCGCGGGCAGCCGCCGCGCCTCGCCTTTCCCTTCAGCGGGAAGCCGGGGTTCCCCCGGAGTTCTGGTTCCTGGGCAGCTGCCCCGAGCCCGAGCCGAGGGGAAGGCCAGGACTGCTAACAAAAGAAGGGGAACTTTCTCCGCGCAGAGCCGGCTGGGCGGTCTGCTCAGAAATCCGCCCAAGTCGCGCACTCCGGGGCTGACAGCCGCCAGGGCCGGGCGGCATTGTCCGGGGGACGCGCGCGGACCGCCAACTTTTCCTTCAAGGCGCGGCCGTCCTATTCGGAACAAAGTGGAAGGTCAGCGGCGCCGCGGCGGCGCCGGGAGCGCACAGCCTCGCCCGGCCGCGCCGCGAAGTTGGCCGGCGCGCCCCACTTTCCTTTTTGTCCTCGCGGCCCGCGGGCTCGGCCGGGCCCCCTCCGCCTCCTCCGCCCGCGCCCGCCCCGCCGCCCCGCCCCCGCCCGCGCCCGCACAAAGCGCGCCCGGCGCCGCGCGGCCCGCACGCCCCGGGCCTCGGCCCGGCCCGGCCTCGGCCTGAGGCGCGGCGGCGGCGGCGGCGAGGCGCGGGCCCACCCTCCGGCGCTGCGCCCCCACCCGCCCGCGCGGAGCCCCCTCCCGCGCCCCGACCCCCCCGCCAGCCCCGCGCCGCCCGCCCGCACCCGCCGCCGGCCCGCCGGCTCCGCTCCTCACCTCGGCATCGGCGGCGGCCATGGCCCGGGCCCGCAGCGTGGCCCCGCCCCTCCCGCGCGCCATCGCCCCGCCCGCGCCTCGCGGCCCAGGGCGGGGCGGGCTGGCGGAGCGCGTCTGCGCCTGCGCCCGCGCCCGCGCCTGCGCGCCGCGGCCTAGGCAGCGGCGTCCGCGGCACGGGCCTGCGCCGGCCGGAACCAGGGCTCGCCGGCCGGGCGGGGACGAGGGACGGGTGGAGCGGCCTTCCGGGAGGCGCCGCGGCGGGGGACGTCGTCCTCACGTCTTCACAAATATCCTCTCGTTCTAGTTAGGCATTCTGGCGGACGGGCCGGGGGCGGAGAAGGACCCCTGACCTCTAACCCCGGACACGTCGCTCCGTCGGCCTTCACAGAGGGCGGGCGCTGCCCTGCGTCCTAGGGCGGTGCCCCGGTTGGGGGTGCGCCCAGCTGGGAGAGGGTCGCGTTAGGGGATGTGCGGGTGAGGGGGCGAGGCCCGAGTCGGTCTGCGGTGGCCGCCCCGTGGCGGGGGAGGGGAATGGCCCAGTGGGGAGAATTGTCCCAACTTGGATGGATGCCTCGCTGGGAGCGTCGCCGCAGTTGGAGTTGTTCGGCTTAGGGGAGGTGGCGCGACTGGGGCCGTACCCCCGCGCCGGGGCGCTCCAGCCCGGAGCCCGTCGGGAGTGTGAGAGACAGTGTCCTGAGTGCGAAGGGTGCGGGTGGGGTGAGGGACGTCCGCGTGGGCACGGCTGTCCCCGTTTGCGGGTGCTGTGGTTAAGGGAGATCCTGGCTTGAGGGAAGTGTGCCCCAGCCGGGCAGCGTTCCTGATCGCCCGAAGCCCCAGGCCCAGCGCCTGCCTACCTGTGTGCCACTCGGCGGTGCACAGGGCAAGACCTTTCCTGCGCACCAGCCTTCTCCGGCCATCACTGGCTGAGGCCACCCGTGTCCAGACCTGCTCCTCCTACCCCCTGGGGGTCGAGGAAAGAAGCGTGGACAGAAATTGGGGTTATCTGGCCAGTCTTGGAAACAAGAACTGGAGAGACCGAGTTGAAGGTTAATCTGCGCCCCACCCCCACCCCCGTAAAGGCTCAGTCTCGGAGGAAACTGCAGGAAACTGTCACAAGTCGGTCGTTGATGGTGCACACAGGTGCAGAGGAGGAAATGGACGACCCTAAGTACCAAGGAAACCCTCCCTGTGTTTTTTCGGGCAGCCTAAGTCAGTTCGTGGCGGGCTGCGGACTCCCACGCTCTGCCTGCAGTCCCGGACAGGGGCTCGGGGGCAGTCCTCCATCGTGGCTGCCACCACCCACGCGACCCACCTTCACCCACGCCTGCCTCGGCGTCTGTCCTCTCCATCTCCACTCCTCCCTCGGGCCCTAGTCTGTCTCTTCCCTGAGAGGCTTTTAGCGCGGGGACCTCTGTGGCTCACTTCCCCACCATCCTTGGGGCTCAGTACTACCTGGAAGCCTTCCCTCACTTCTTAAAAATGATACTGCGCCCCAGGGCTTACTCGCTTCATTTTACCCTGTAGCCGTACAGTCTGTCTTCCCCACCACCGTGTAAGTCCAGAAGGTCGGGCAGGCAGGGACTTCCGTGTGCCCTGGTGCCTAGAACTAAACGTGGCATGTAGGATACAAAGTGAACATTTGCTGAATGAATAAATGAGTCGTGACTTGGAGAAAAATCCTTTACCAGGCAAATACCAAAACAAAGGGTTGTCTGAAGTAGGGTACACTCCCATTTTGCACCATCAGTGCAACCCGCCCGGGCCCTCGTCTGGTGGTGGGTGACTTGTCAGATGTTCCCAGCACGTGACTTTTAACTAAACATCAGGTCATGAGACGCGGACGCTGTTCTTACCCACGTTCTGTAAACGTGCAAACTGTAACAGGGAGTTGAGTACATTCAAGGCCACACAACTGTCAAGAGGTAGAGATGGAATTAGAACCCGGGAGGGCTTTCCTCGGACGGAGGCACCGGCTCCTGGCAGGGTTTAGATCATCCTGCTTGTGGCATGCTTTTCCCGGTGTGTGTCCACTCCTTGCCCCCCAAAGGGTAAAACTTGGCCAGCTACACGGCAGCCTGCCAAAGAGCACATTTCCAATAGCAAAAGACGGCCAGTGGGGTGCGCGCACAAGTTGGAGGTGCAGGCCCAGCAAACTGGATGATGGTGAAACCTGTTTAACAGCCACCCTGTACGGGGGCGGGGGGAAGGAGGGACAGGGTGGGGCGCCTGGACGAGAGGATACATCCCCAGGCCCAAACTCTCGACCTCTGGACTAAATGTTGAAGAAATAAGCCTGCCACTTTGGGGGTGCAGGGGCTCAACCTGTCCCCTCCTAGTCCCATGAGCTTGTTATAATAAAGTAACTGAGACCCCTATACAGGCCCCCCTTCACCATTTGGCAGAGCAGGACTTTCGATCCAAAGGCTTTACCCCCACCTCCAGTGTTTCCCAAAGTTTGTTCGAGGAACACTGGCCAGGCAGGGCCTGGAACATCTGCAAGGATGCCCCTTCGAGAAAAGTCTTCCTGCATTTGCGTTTGGGTTCCTGGAGTGCTAAGTGACAACCCCTTGAAACGCAGACCTCGGGGACCGCCCTGTGCGGTCGGTCGGTCGCACTTGGGTGGGAGGTGAGAGGCAGCGTCCCACAGCCAGATGCGGCCCCGCCCCTCACCCCGCGGGATCTCCTCGGGCACAGGCTCGGGCGCAGGTCTAAACTGCGCTGCCCGGACGGTGCGTGATGAACGGCGAGCCCAACCAAGGGTGTGTGTTTATCAAATGGGACAGGGTGGCCTTCGCCCCAACGCTAACCCACTTTAAATTAAGGCCGGAGCTCCAGACACGAAACCTGGCTCCAAGGGCACCTCCTTAGGCAGCGCCGGGAGTCCGAGCGCCACCTCCAGTTCTCGCTCCCGCGGGCCGCAGCCAGAACGACACCCGGAAGGAGGAGGGGCCGGGGCCGAGGAGAGGGACTCACGCCGGAAGGGGCGGGGCCTTGGGAAAGGGGGCGCGCCGGAGAGGACGGGGGCGGTCCCGGGAAGCGCCCCCAGGCTGGGCCCGCACATCCGGCCGCAGGAGGGCGCCCGAGAGGCCGGCCTGCGCCCAGCACTACAAATGAAGCGCTTTATTTACACCTGTCAGTCCAGCCACCGCCACTGGGAGAGGCCGACTGCACGGGGCCACGGAGGCGGCCCAGGGGGAGGCAGAGGGCGCGGAGAGTCCTGAGTAGGCCGGGCCAGGCCGGGAGCGAAGGCATGAGGCCCTGGTCCCACGGCAAAGGTCCTGGAGAAGGCGGCTCGGTTCGGGGTCAGCTTTCTGGGGTCAGGCCAGGATCCGCAGCTCCGCAGCTCTGCTCGTAGGACGGCGGAGCCTCTGCGGAGACAACAAGGTCTGTAAGGGGCCCGTGGTGCACCCCCCCAGCCAGGCCCCAGGCTCCCACTTACCATAGGGGTGGCCCCACGAACTGTACTCTGGGGGTAGGATCAAGGTACTGATGGTGGGCACAGCTCCTCCAGACCCCTCTGCAAAATAGGGCACAGTGGCACCTGTGGAGATGCACAAGGCAGGGGGCAGAGGGTGGGAAGCGGGGCTGCCGTCGTGAGGACAGGGGTCAGGAGCACCAGGCGGTGGCTGTGGCGAATGGCTCTGGGTGATGAGGGAGACAGGGTCCGCGAACTGGGGGTGGCCGGCAACCGCCTCTGCCTCCTCCGGGGGCGGCGCAGAGGGCACCACCGTGGGCAGAGCCCCGGGCAGTGGCCCGAGGCCAGGCCCAGGGCTCAGCGGGGCTTGGTTCACAGCGATATTGCCGATGAAGACCGGGAGGGTCACGGAGGCCTCAGGCGCCTTCAGGGAGACCTGCGAGGTATGGGGGGTGAGGGTCTAGGTTGCCGAGCCACCCCCCCAAACCGTCCCCCAACCCCAGTACCTGCAGGTAGTAGTCCACATGGATGAGGCTGCAGCCCGGCAGGGCCGACTGGGGCAGGGGCGGCACCAGGATCTGTTCTTGCCACTGCGTCTGCCTCCAGGCCTTGACACCGGCACCCTCCACTTCCGCAATGGTCCGCACGTCGTAGATCCAGCGCTTGGCCTTGTAGGACACTTTCTGGGGAAGGGCCAGCCCGTAAGCCCCGGCAGGCCAGCCACCTCCCCCGCCCCCATCCCAGGGGACTCCCACCTGCAGCAGACTGGCCACCACAGGGCTGGTGTCCTTGCCCGACTGGTTGTCGACGTCAACCTGCAGCCGCAGCACCTGCCCCACCACGTAGCCCCGGAGGTCTGTGCTGGCGGTGAGGGCCACGCTGCCTGTCTTCACCAGCTTGTAGGAGAACTTCTTGGTGGCAGAAGCCACGTTGGGTTGCTGGGGGGTGGGGAGGGTGGGAAGGGGGTTGGCAGTGTGGGCAGGCTGGACACCGGTGGACCCTGGACAAGGCCACTCCGCCCTACCGTGCCCCAGCCCTGGACAGAGCAGAGTCAGCTGGGGACCCTGGCCCTCTGACCTCCAATGGGGACAGGGCATCGGGTCAAGGTGGGGACCACACGGGGGCCACCGCCCCATCCTCACCTCGATATCGGGGATGCTGTTCAGGTTCAGAGGGCTCAAGATGTAGAACACACAGCTGCACTGGTGATCCTTGGAAAAACGCGGTGTGTCGATGGTGGCCCGCACCTGGTGCACGATCTTCCCAAAAGGGCCCTCGAAAGATGTGGGTGCTGTGGCTGGAGAAAGAGCAGAGACTGGCACCCCACTGCCCCCCCCCCCACCTGCCCCCCACCCCCACCAACTGCCACCACTAGGCCTGGCCAGGCCAGGCTCTCACCAGGAAGCAGAAACTGGAAGGGGAAGCTGTGCTCTCCAGTGGGCAGGCTCCCTGCAGAGACAGGAGGAGAGGGGACCTCAGGGCCGGGGAAGCAGCAGGCGCTGCCACCAGCTAGCTCGTGCTGCATCTGGCTGCTGGGATTCCCAGCCTCCGTATCCAGTGCCACAGCAGCAGAGGGCCATGGCCGGGGCAAAGGGTGGGCGCCAGAGCTGTTCCCGGGGCTGGAGGCACCCACACCCAGGAGAAGCCGGCCCCTTCCGCCACCCAGCTCCCATCAGACGATGCCAAAAGCCTGCCAGGGAGAGAAACCCATCAGGGTGCAGAGCAGAGGGAGGGGGTGGGCGAGTGCGGGTCTCCCAGGGGCAGGCCGAGGAGGTGGGGTGGACAGACAGGCTCCCCGACACTCACCCTTATCCGCCAGCGACAGAGTGCTGTTGAAGTAGCCCTCCTCTGCCACCCAGGCAGCATCATTGGCCTTGTTGGAGACCCTGCAGGAACCCGTGCAGCTCACGCGGATGGCTGCGGGAGCGGGCACGGGGTGAGCCGAAGCGAGCTGCTGGCCCAGCCCTCCGGCCCCCGGCACGGGGTTCGAATGGTGCCGGGCAGCCCCCCGCCCCGCCCCGTTGGGCCCTGAGAAGGCCAGCGAATGGTCTGCGGCCTGCCTTTTAGAGGACACCTCCTGTCCATCCCCCCATCCTGGGGTGCTGACAGGAGCCAGGTGGTGAGGAATGGAGTGCCTGTGCGGCCCAGGAGGGCCCCAGTGGTCACCCAGAGGACCCCTGGGCAACCCCTGCCTTGGAAGCTGTGGTTCCGGCCACGCCTGCGCCCACTAGGCCTGTGAGAACCCGGCTCTCTACTGGGGCTGCTTGGGGCACTGATGAGGAGCAGAGGCCTGGGGGCTGTTGACCTCTGACCCCACCTTCCCGCTGCCTCACGGGGGAGTCAGTCAGGCTGGAAGCCAACTGCTGGCCCTCCCGCTGCAGGAATGTGGTCAGACCTGCCTGACCAGCAAAGGCACCCAATGCCGACACTGAAGAGCGGGGACTCGACTTCCTGGGCCAGCGCTGCCCCGCAGAGCTGATTCTCTGCATCCAGAGAAGGCCTGGCCCGCCCGCCCCCCCCCCCGCCCCCGACTCCCAGTGGGAGCGCCCAGACCAGGGACCGTCTGCAGCAGAGGCTGCCGCCTGTTCTGGGGTCAGGACTCGAACTTCTGAGTCCAGCACGCGTGCTCAGCGTCAATATGCTGGGAAGGCTGCACAGCCAGGCGCAGCGAGGCCGGTCGCCGCTGGAGCCCCAAGCGGGCCGGGGGGAGCGCGGCGACAGGCAGCCCCGCTGCCTCACCCTGCAGGGCTGAGTCAAGGCCACAGACTTCGGCCGCACCTGTCCACCTCTGCCCAGTCCTGCTTCCCCCTGTGACGTGACAGTCAGGTGAAGGGAAATTGACTCAGAACCTGATACCTTCCTGACGGAGCCACCGGGCAGGAAGGACGTGGTGTCTCAAGAGCCCAGTGCTAAGGGCCAGCCCCACCGGTCGTGTCCGCAGTCTCCCCAGAACGGCCCCACCTCGCTGACGCAGCTTCCTGTTGATCACCCTCAGCGCGCACACTCCCTTCACGGCTCCGGCTGGTCCCCCGGCCCGTCGGCACCGCCAGGGACCAACCCTCGGCCTCCGTGCCAGCCCAGCCTTACCTCCTGCGCCTCAGCCCCGCTCTCCACTCCATGCCCCGTCAGCCGGGCCCCCCGGGCCCAGACCTGGAAGTGTTCAGGTCTGGAAGTGCCCACCCTGAAATCTGGGGCGCCGGGGCTCCTACAGACCAACACAGCCCAAGAGGAACCAGGCCGGGGGCGAGCGGGCAGAGGGGGAAGGGGACCGTGACCTGGGGAGAAGGCAAGTTGGCGGGTCCAGAGGCCACACGGCTTTAGCCCTCCCTGAAAACAGGGCGCGTTCGCCTCCCTAGTCTGGCTGCCCTGGCAATGCTGGGACCGACAGAGTAGGCCAGAAGGGGTGCAGCGGTCCCCAGACCGGCCCGGTGCCAGCAGAACCCCGACAAGCACCCCCAGAGGATGGCACACGAGCTGAGGAATTGCCCCGCCACCTCTGTCCGAATTCCAAACCACGACACCACGAGATATAATACAATGGTTGTTCGAACCACTTGGTCTAGGGGCGGCTCGTCACCGAGGGGTTCACATAGTGGCAGGTGACAGGGACAGACGGACCCCTCACCAGAAGTCAGGGAAACTCGGAGGGCTTCCCATTGTAGCCACTCAGATGGGCAAATATTAAGTGTTTGATATTTAATGTAAAAATAGTAGGTATCCTGACACCAGAGCGACCACACGTGGGCTGGCACAGGCCTGGAGAGACCCCGGGCACCCCGCAGGTCCCCGGACCGCACACTGTGCGCGCAGCAGCCTGGAGCACCCCTGCTCACGACAGCCGACCGTCCCGGCCCCCAGAATTCAGGTGAACGAGCTGTGGGGGCACCTGCAGGGGACCCCAAAAAACAAACGGTGTCACACCAACCCTTGAGTCACCCCAGAGGGACCCTCCCAACGCCCGTGCTGAGCCCCATTTCTCACAGATGCATGGAGGCCCCGTCGGGGGCCCGACTGGGTGAGCAGCCGCCCGTCGCTGCCTTGGCGTCACACTGTCCTGTTCCTGCCCACCCTCTTCTCCAGGAGAGCAACAGAGGCGCAGGGGACGGACACGCACAGCGCGCCGGCCTGCCCCTGCGGCGGTACCTGCCCCCGAGGCCAGCACGGCCCTCGCGCCCGCCAGCACCACGTGTGCGCACGGCCCAGGACGGAGCAGGTGTGTCCCGGCGAGGCGCGGCCTCCGCCCGCAGCGCCCCGCAGGCTGCAGAGCCACCGCGCTGTGCCGTCTGGGTCTGCGGCTGCCCAGCCGAACGGACGCGCGACGCAGAGCTGAAGGCAGGCAGCGAGCGGACAGGCGCCCGTGTTCAGGCGTTTAGGGCCGCGCTGCTTCCCTTGGGAAGACCATGGTGCGGACCCTGCTCCAGCGTGACTCCCGGAGCTGTCCTCGCCGGCCAGCACTGCCGCCTGTCCAGCAGCCCTCCCCCCGGCACAGCTGCAGGTCTGACCCTGAAGACCTCTGCTCACCCTCCTCTGGTCCCACAGGTCTCTCCCACCGTCCGCCAGCTCCCACAGACCTGGAGCAGCCCGGCCCCTGCCACATCCGCTCACTGAAGCTTAGCCCACGGGCCCCTGCTCTCTGTCCTGGTTCCAAGCCTGTCCCGTAGCAGAGCAGGCCCACCTCCCAGGCCGACTGTGAGGGTCTGTGGAGCCGGGCCACGGAAAGTGGGGAGGGCGGCGTCTGGCCTGTGGCGACAGCTCAGTGAGCTGGTGGAGTGAGGGCTGGCCGCCGCCCCTTCCTCTGTGTCCTGCCGGCACGTGGAAGGCCTCCCCGCTGTATCGCTGGCTGGCGGCGGGAGCTCAGCAAGCTTTTAAGTCAAAGAAAAGAAAGAACCAACACCTTTCCCTTCCCACAGCCAGGCAGGGCTTGGAGAAAGCCCCAGAGCCAGTGCAGCACCCACAGCCTCCCCCGCTCAGGGGCCAGCGCTTTCCCAGCCGGGACCCTCGGCGGGGCTCCCTCAGCCTTCTGAGGCCCCGCTGTCCATTCACCCGCATCCTGCTCGCCAGACGAAGGCCAGGGGGCTCTGCCCCGCCCAGGCCGGCCACACACAGCTCAGCCCGTCCCCTCCCCGCGGTCAGCAGCAGCCTGCTTGTCCGGGCCGCAGCGACAGGAGGGCAGCGGGCTGGATGAGCCCAGCGAGGGTCCCAGCACGGCGTCTGTGGCGCATTCGTCCCCTGGCCGCGAGCCTGCGCCACCTGCCTTCGGCCACTCTCCCCCCGTCAGGAGCCTTCTGGCCCCATCTCAGGTCTCGCCTGTTGCTTGTGCCCCAGGGAAGAGCCGCACTGTCCCTGCTGTGCCCCCTGCCACACCCACTCCCACTCAGACACCAAGCTCCAACTGGGGGGACAAGAAAGGAGGTGACCGTGCCACAGGGAGGAGGCCCCGCGGACCCGCACGCCTAATGAGAGGCACCTGCACCAGCTTCCTCCGAGACCCCTGCCGCCTCACACTCTCACGTGCAGGGACAGGCGGGTCTGTCCAGCATGGAGGGTCTGTCCCCTTGGGACAGCGGCGATCAGTCTCGGCAGGGACCAGAAGGGCTGAGCTGTCACCCACACAGGTGTGTGGGAGGCCAAGGTGCAGGGGGAAGCCCAGCAGCTGTGGTTCTGGTCAACCACCCCAAGGCAGAGGAGCGACCCAGCAGGGACACACCACACAACCTTGCACTCAGAGCCAAGGATCCCTGCGCCGTGCCTTTGCCACCACCCCCACCCTGAGGTTGGAGCCCCAAAGTCCCAACCAGGGCCCTGTTCAGACCTGGGACAGCAGATGAAGCCAGCACCTGTGGAGAGCCCTAGCAATGGCCGCTACAGCAACCCGATCCCCAGTCCCGGAGTCCCAGATGTCTGCACCAGCAGTGGGATTGGCCAGGAGGGCTCGGGTTCAGCTCCCGGCTGCCGGCTAGGCCGGGGGCCTGGGCACGCAGGGATGAGCAAGACATCCCCGCCACACACGGTCAAGCTTAAGCTGGATGTAAGCGGGGGCACGAGTGCCGCGTGGGCCCTGCTGGGAACCTGCACAGGGATGGGGCTGTCTGTGAAGAGGAAGGGACTGTACCAGGAGCCTGGGTGTGTGGCGAGAAACCCAGCCTCCAGGTGATGGCCTATCAGGTGCGGGGCTCAGCGGACCCTGCAGATCCTCCAGGGAAGGTCGGAGGCGCGCCTGTGTCCGGGTCAAAGTGGGCTCCGGCGAGCAGGACCGGCTCTAAGCCCCCGCCCCCAGGCGGAGAGAACAGGAAAAGCAGAGACGGAAGACGGCCACCCAGGCCTCCCTGCTTTGCCCCGACCGCCGCCGGCCTCCCACCCGGAGGGTCAGCGCGACCCCGCAAGCCGCACCCAAACCTCCCCGGAGCCGGAGAACCCGCGCGGATCCTTCAGGAACCCCGGGCCGCGAGGGGATTTTCCCAGGCTCCGCGCCACCGGCAGCCGCTTCCGGGAGCCCCCGCCCGGCCCTACGTGCGGGCGCAGCCACCTGAACCCCGCCCGGCCTGGTCCTCCCCGAGGCGACCCCGCGCTCACCTCGGAAAGGCAGCGGCGCCCTCAGGCACACATGTACGGTCCCCGCCAGCGGTTCCCCCGGGCTGTAGACGACGCGGCCGCGGCTCAGGCGGATCTCGAAGAGCTGCACCCGCCCCATGCCGCCTGCGGGCCCGGCCGCACCGTCACTCACTGCCACCCCCGCCCGCTTGCTGGTCCGCTGCGCTCCGCGCACCGCCCGCTCCGACCCGCCCCCGACCCCGCCCCCGTTCTTGGCCCCGCCCCCAACCGGGCCTCCCCCGCGTGTTCGGCAACGCCCCTGTCCCCCGCTGGTCACACCCTCGGCCACGCCTACCGCCCGCCAGGCCCGTCCCCCGCCTCGGCCACGCCCCCGCCCCGCCCATCCCCGACTCGGCCACACTCCCGGGCCGCGGGGTTCTCTCTCGGCCCTGTCGCCCACCCTCCTCGTCCCCGGGCGGTCCCCCGCCGCGCCCGGTCTGCCCACAGCCCCGACCCGGCCCGCAAGGTGGAGGTCTGGAGCGCGTCGCGGGAATCCGGCGCACGCGCGCCCCCTGCTGCCCCGGGAGAGCGGCCGGTTCACCTGTCCCGGGGACGGGGCCATGCCCGGGCCGGCGAGCATGGGCGCGGGGGTGCGGCGGGCTCGGGGGAAGGGTCCCTGGCTGCGCCCGGCCCGTCACTCCACGGAGGGACGTCAGGAGGGCGGGCCGGCGGGTTTGCGCCTGCTGCGTCCGCGCGGCGGGCCTGGGTTCGGGGTGGGGTCCCTCGGGGCTGCCTACGCGCGCAGCCAGCGCCGAGCACCTGGGTACGGGGTCGAAGAAGAGGGCGCGCGGGGCGGAGGCTGAGTGAGGCGGAGTGCGCGAGACCCCGGGGCGCCGAGGGACTGACTCTGATTTACCGTCTTTAAAAGGCGGCTCAGCGCCGAGTGAGTGTGAGTGCGCGCGGGAGACGTGGGCGTCTTGGAGGGAGGAGGCTGTGCCGGCTCGGAGAAGCTTGCAGTGGGTGCCCACTGCTGATAGATCGGGGGGCGTCGAGGTTGTTTGGGAGGTGGGAGAAATTCACGACCCGCAGAGTCCGATATGTCCATGGGACACTTCTGTGCATGAGTTTGGGGGAGACGAAAGACTAAAGGTTGGTTACCCACTTGCGCGCCGATAGCAGCTCAAGGCAGGACGTAAAGACATCAGAGCTTGGGGTGAAAGTCGCCGGAACCTAATCTAGCCCTGCAGCAAAAGGAAAGGGGACTTACAGGCTGGAGGGGTCCGGGTGGGCCAGCTGAGGAAAGGGGGGCCGCGAGCCCCGGAGGGCCAGGGGTGGGCAGCCAGCGCCTGCCCCGCCCGGCTCCAGCAGGACCCTGCCGTGCCCCAGAGGGAGCCTGAGCAACCACTGCGTCAGGACTGTGCAGACTGTGCAGACGGGGAAGCTCCCGAACACGGGGTTCAGAGCGCCCAGGGGGCGGAGGGAGCCTGCACAGCCCAAAGTGCCACCACCCGAGAGGCCAAGGAGGGGCTGTTGCAGGAAGGAGGGAGGTGTGTGCTGGCTGCCGCTGAGATGGAATAGATGAGGACAGTAACGGGGCGGCCTTTATCCCTGGTCACCCTCTGTCTCCCCCAGTCGGACCCCCAAACGGCCCTCGCAGCCTTTCTTCTGACCCCGTCTGGAAGCTGCGCACGTCTGCCTTCGGCGCCAAGGCCTGACCTCCTTTGTCTGACATTCCGTCCCTCCTCCTCCCCGGACCCAGGCTTTCCTGGGACCTCTCCGGAGGAGATGTCTGTCCTCACACCACCTCTGGCCCCTGGGCCAGGAAGGGGCTCAGGTGCCCTCCCCACCCCCGCGACCACTTCCAGACCGTTTCTCCGCCCCCTGCAATCTCCAGCTTTAAGTCTCCTTTTCTCAGGATGAGAGCCCACACCTCCGCTGCCGCTCTCACGGTCAAGGCCAGCTCAGTCCCCCTTGTTCCTTGGTGACAGCAGCGCGTGACGCGCTGTCCTCTCTCCAGTGCCAGTTTGCAGGAATTCTGGGCAACTTCAGAACCCGTGTAGGTGATCCTTCTTTGCTCCTGGTCTGTCTTAAGATTGTACCCAGGGTTCATTTTAATCGGGCGAGGTGACCGACAGAGACGACTCCTTGAAGAAAGAGTATATGTCCCAGGAGGAGGGGACAGCTTCCCCACGGGGCCGTGTGGGGCAGTGCCAGGGTCCCAGAGCCTGTCCTGTGTTTTCTGTGGGAAGGAATGGGCGATGCAGCAGTGTGCTCGGGGCTGGAGGGTGTGAGTAATCTCAGTGGGCTCTGGGTTATGGGGTGTCGCCCAGTTGCCCAGTGCCTGGCCCTGGGGGGAGTGAGGCAGAGGAACCCTGGCGCGTTGTGTGAGGAAGATAAAGGGAGGGGCCCTGGCTGGGTGGCTCAGGCAGTTAGAGCATCGTCCCCGTACGCCAAGGCTGCAGGTTCGATCTCTGGTCAGGGCACATGTAAGAACCAACCGGTGAGTGCCTCAATAAATGGAACACAAACATCAATGTTTCTGTTTCTCAAATCAATACATTTGCTGTAGATAGAGATAAAGGAGGCAGCTGGGGGTTTGGGCTCTGGATCGGTTGGTTTGCATGTAAAAAGTGGGTCTCAGAGAATTGTTTGCCATCCCTTGGAATTGGTCCTGAGAGGGGCAGTCCCTCCCCAGCCAGCAAGGCCCCCAGAGGTCAAAGCACCTTGGATAAGAAAATAAGCCCTCACTGGTGCGGCTCAGTTGGTTGGCCACTGTCCTGCAAAGCAAAAGGTCGCCAGTTCAATTCCCCGTCAGGGCACAGGCCTGGCTTGCGGGTTGGTCCCCAGTCGGGGTGTGTACAACAGGCAGCCGATGGATGTTTCTCGCCCCCTCTTTCTCCCTCCCTCCCCCTGCCTCTAAAAATAAATAAATTAAATCTTTGAGAAAATAAACCACCACCACCACCACTACAGCGCTTGTGTGTCCTGGCTGGTGTGGCGCAGTGGACTGAGCGCTGGCTTATAAACCAAGGGGCCACTGGTTCGATTCCCAGTCGCCTGGGGCACAGGCCTGGGTTGCGGTTGGGTCCCCAATGGAGGGGCGCCCAAGAGGCAACCACACATGGATGTTTCACTCCCTCTCTTTCTCCCTCCCTCCCCCTCTCTCTAAAAATAAAGTCTTTTTTTAAAAAAAGACACAGCTCTAGTCCCCGTGAGTCCTCTCCTCCAAGACCTCCAGCCGACTCCGGCTTTGCCAGCTGCTCTGCGGAGCCGCCTGCCCACCCCTCCCCCACCCCTTCACACCTGCGCTGTTTCTCCCATCGCGAGAGAGGTCCTGTCCCCTCCCGTGGAACCTGGCTGGCCCCGGGACTCGCTTTGACTGGCAGTGCTGTGACCGGAGATGCCACACCGGGCGCAGGTCTCGGGCGGCCCCACAGCTTCTCATTTCCCTCTTGGTGACCGAGCTGCTGCGTAAATGTCTGGTTACCCTGCGCGAGAAATCCCGGTGAGAGAGGTGGCCTGGACATGTGCGTGGCGCTGGCGCAGGCTTCCTGCCTCGGTCGCGCCCAGGGACCGTGGCTGCTGAGTGGCCCTGGCCATGCCCACCCACTGCCGTTGCAGGACACACCACCGCGCTTATTACTTCTCGTGACAAGGAGGCCGCACGCAGCCGGAGGCCCTTCTGCTCTGGGGGGACCTGCGGAGGGCAGAACGCGCGAGGTGCCCTCTTCACATAGACACCCGGTGCCTCACCTGGGGTGGCTGGGAGGGCGCAGGCATGGTGGGGGGACCTGCCTGGTTAGGGACCTTCCAGGAGGCCTCTCCGCACGGCCAGTCGGGCTTTTGTGCGGGACGGGGAGGTGCATCGGGTGGCGGTGCTGAGACCGACCCCCTGGGGGCAGGCCTCCAAGGCCGAGGACGGGAGGCTGCCGGCCCGCAGGCCTGGGCTCTGAGGTCCCTCGACTTTCTAGCATGTTCAGTGTGTCAGAAGAGCCACAGGAGCAGCGTGGGTGGGGCATCACGCGCTGACGAGGGGAAAGGGCATCGCTGGGGAAAGTCCGACGCCAGGACCGCACCAGCCCGGAGCAGGGCCAGCCCGCGGAGCCTGCCGTGGGTTCCAGGACCACCAGAACACCGCCGCTTTACACCAGAGGGTTGGGGGAGGTTTGTTACGCACCAGGAGACCTTGGGGATGGGCCTGGGGACCTAGCAGTGAGGGCTGCCACGGAGGAGCTCTGAAGCGCGGCGCCCACCTGGGAGCCAGGCCACGGTGGGCAGGGCAGGGCGGTGTGAACGCGGCTGACGAGGCTGGAGGGAGGGGCCCCGTGTCAGGTATGGGCAGGAAAATGGCGAGAACATTGTCTGGTAACGTGCGAGGCGTAAAATGTAGCCCATGATCTGATTTTCCTGGCAGAACACTTAAAGGCCGATTGGCTTCTTTCTAGTGAAGAAACCGTACACAAGGGCCTCAAGAATCTAGAGGCGGTTGTCCCACTGCCCCCGACTTCCTGAAGACATTTACAGTGTAGCTTTGGTCTAATGAAGCGGGTTATAATTTGATACATAGAAAATCCACAGGTTTTTTTTAAAGGGTTTTATCTGCTTGAACTAAAATGAACAGAATTCAAAAACAATGAGGGCTCTGGACCCTATCTTTCTTTTCTTTAAAGACTGTATTTATTTATTCTTAGGTAGAGGGACAGGGAGGGAGAAAGAGGGAGAGAAACTGATCAGTCGCCTACTCACACGCCCCCAGCCGGGGCTCTAGCCTGCAACCCGGGCCTGTGCCCTGCCTGGGAATCGAACCGCGACCTTTCAGTGTGCAGGACGATGCCCAGTGTGCTGAGCCGCACCCGCCAGGGCTGGGCCCCTAACTTTCTACAGGCAAAAGTAGGCTGAGGCAGCTACTCAGCTGCAAACATGGGTCAGTTCCCATGGAAAAGGGAAAACGACAGGGATTTCAGGGCCAAAATTGCAGAGGGAGAAGCCAAGAACTGCTAAAAACAAAACCAAAAACAAAACAGTAGATTAGGAGACTCTTGCAGGAAATAGACCCGGGCCGAGGTCCATCATGACAAATGTCTGGCCGCATATCAAAAGCGCTGTGGCCCCCTGGCCCTGGAGGGCCCTTCGGTTTGAACGGGATGCTCTGGCCCTGAGCCTGTGCTCCACCATGGAACGCTGGTGCTGTGGGGCTGGGGGAGGGGTAACATGTCTCTCAGGCAAAGGGGGCCACACCTGGCCCTTTGGCACATCCTAAGACAGTGGGCTCCGAGCCTATTGCCTTGGTGAGGTGGTAATTCTGGGGGTCTTGGCAGGCCCCGAGTGCAACTCTCACGTGACGGGGGCCGAGGGTAGACTGGGAAGGCTGTTCTACTCGTAGCGCCGCCCCCAGGGGACCGCACTCCCTACGACGCGCGCCCCGCGCACAGCCCTCCTCCGCGGGCTCCGGGCTTGCCGGCCTGCCTGGCTTCGGCCCGGGGGACGCTGGCAAGCATGATCCCGTCAGAGGCCCAGCAGACGCTTGCCGAATGGTAATTGCCACTTAAATCGCAGCTTCCATGCTGGGAGGAAGTCCCGCTGTCCTGCCTGGCCACGTGGGGAAACCCTGGATAAAAAGAAGCCACGTGGAGGAGAGGACGTGCAAGAGAAATGACGCGTTCCCGTCCAGTTCCCGGAGGAGTGAGACCACGGAAGGACCCGACGGACCGCGTGCGGAACGGAAGGCCTCATCGATCCCAGAACTGAGAGAAGTCATGAAGCACTGTTGCCTTAACCATGAAGTCTCAGGAAGGTTTGTTACATGTCAGTAGAAAACAGAAAAAGATCGTTGTCGCCAGCAGCTGCAGCCCCTCACAACCTCAGGTCCACACTCCCCCGACCGCCGCCTGCGGCCCTCGCGCGCCCGTCTAGCTGCCCGCAGCCGGCTGCCCGCCCCGGCCCCCGGGGGTTTCCTCGCCCGTCCCCACCCTCCTCCAGGCTCCCCGCCCCTCCCCGCTCACCCCTGGGCGCGGCCACCACAGTCCTGCTCGCGTCCCCTCCCCTCCTCTTCGCCTTCCCCGCAGCCGCCCGAACAGGCTGGCGGAGAACAGCCCCAGGCCAGGCCGTCCTCCTGGACCTCCTCGTCCTTCCTCTTCGCCCCACCGCCCTTTGCTACCTTCCCCTCCCTTTGGGCCCATGACCTTGTTTTCTACTTAGTTGAAAAAGCAGAAAGTTCTCATCACGAGGTAATTCCCCAAACTTCTACCTCCACACCCAGCCGCCCCGGCCCCTGCCTAGAGCCCGCTCCTCACTCCTCGCCTCTCGGGAAACTCTTCCATCTTTTTCCTACGCCACCGCCTTCTCCTCCTCTGTGGGAATCATTCGCTGGCGAACAAACGTGCTCTTCCCTCTCCGACTATAAAACCAACGACTCTGGACTTCCCTTTTCTAGTTTTGGCCCTGCTTCTCTGCTCGCTTTTTTAGCAAAAAAAAAAAAAAAAGAACAAAACAAAACCCAAACGCTTTGGAAGAGTTGTCTGTCTCACGGTCTACAATATCTCCTGGCGTTCCTTCTTGTCCCCCGCCCCCCGCCCCCAACACAGCTCTTTTCAAAGTAACCGCTGCCCTCGCGCTGCTCAACCTACTGATTGACTCCCATCCCCGCCTCACAGGCCCTCCCAGCGGCGGGTGACTCCCAGCAGCCTGTGACAGCCTAAGGTCCCTCGTCCCTCCCTGGCACACTCTGCACCCGGCCCCCTCCCGGCTCACCTCCTGTTGCGCTTCCTGCTTTTCTTTACTGGCTCCTCCTCTTTCCAAGCCTCCTCCCCCTTGACATGGGGGTGCCCAGGGCTCAGCTGGGCCTCTCTTCCTCTGTCCACGTTTCTCGCGTGGGGTCCTTGGAATACAGTGACTCTGAAATGAGTGCCACGTTGCCACCCCAGGCAGACGGCCTCCCTGAGCCCTGGGCGCACATGTTCCACGCCTGCCAAGGTTTTATCATGGAGCACCAGTGAGAAGGGCATGTTTGTCTCGTGAAGCCACTGAAGTTGGGGCTGCTTGTCACAGCAGCATAACCAGGGCTGCCCTGACTGCTACACACTGGCACCAGAGGGGTCCAAACAGTGTCCCCTCTGGGCTGGGAACTTGCACCTACTTCCTAAACAGGCTTCTTCCCTCCATTCTCCTCCCTTGCCCCTGTTCCCCGCCCCATGAACTATTGTCTCCACAGCCAGTGTGATTCACCGAAAAGCTACTCCTCTATTCCAATCCTCCAAGCCTCACTTTGTTCTTTTATTTTTAAATGTTTCCGTTGCAGCTGACATACAATATTGTCCTAGGTTCTGTTGTAAAACATAGTGGTTAGGCATTTATGTAACATACAAAGTCCCGGTCCCAGGAAGCGGAGAGCCCACCGGGCACCACGCGCCGTTGATGTACCACCCCGACTCCGCTTCCCAAGCCGCTTGCAGTTTACGTCCTGGGACTGTCCTTACACGTGGTAGTTTGCACTTCTTAGTACCTCCCTTCTCTTTGCCCACCAGCCCACCCCCCTCCACCCGGCAACTCTCCATTTGTTCTCTGCATCTATGAGTGTCTGTTTTGCTCATTTATTTTGTTGGTTAGATTCCACATATAGTGAAATCATGTGGTATTGTTGTCCTTTGTCTAATTTATTTCACTCAGCACAATACCCTCCAGGTCTATCCACACTGTCACAAATAGTAACGTTTTATTCTTTTCTCTGGCTGAATAATATTCCACTGTATATATGCAACACTTAGGCTGTTTCCAAATCGTGGCTGTTGTGAATAACGCTGCAGTGACCACAGGGGTGCATGTATCTTTTCGAACTGGCGTTTTGGGTTTCTTCAGCTAAATACCCAGGAAAGGGATTGTACGGTTATATGGCAGGTCTACTTTTAATATTTTTTGGAGGAATCTCCACGCTGTTGTCCACAGTGGAGGCACCGGCTTGGGATCCCAGCAACAAGGCACAGGGCTCCCTTTCCTCCACGCCCGCCAGCACTTGTCTGATTCATTGTCGGCAACCGTTGTGGCAGGTGTGAGGTGGTGTCTCACTGCGCGCCCGCTTCTTTCTGTGTGTGAACGTCAAAGTCCTTACACTGCAGTCTGGTCACAAGGGCCAACCCCATTTTCAGACGCCAGAAATGTTCCCAGTTCGGGGCCTTTGCCCAGGCCCTTCCCCCGCAGGGAACGCACTCCCCTCCGTGGATGGAACCCGCGCCCTCTCTCTTCCGCTGTTGGTTCCAACTGACTGGGCAACGGGGCCGCGCCGCTCCCCACCGGCTGATCTCCGTGTTTTCCCCACGGCATTCGTCGCCTTCTGACACGTGAAACTCATTCACCCTGGGTCCTTTCGGCCTCCCTCCCTGGAACATGAGCAGGGGCTTTAAATGTACGTGCCCTGGTGCCAAAGAATTCCGGTGGGTCCTAGGGGTGAAAACCAGGTAGGAGTGGTTGCCAGGGGCAGGGGTAGTAGGCAGGCCCCCCAAAGACGGCAGCCCCGGAGTCCCTGGACCAGGCTGTCCACGGCCTGGGCGTCGCCACCCTCGGTGCAGGAGCCTGCGGTCCCGGGAAGGTGGGTGTCGCCCGGGGTGAGGGCGGTCACCGTGGTTCAGACTAAGCCCCCGTGAGCAGGAGACGCCGTGGCCAGGCAGGGAGGAGGGCGCTCGGCTCGGGCCTCTTCCCGCGTCCTGCAGGGGCGGGCCACCAGCCCAGCTCCTCGGCGGCCGGGAGCTCCTGGTTCCCGTCCTCACCTCGTGTCCCTGCCCGCTGCCCTGGGACGCGGGACGGTTTCTGGGGTGGGAGCCCGCCGCGAGTCCTGCAGGGACCCCAACCCGCGGGATCCTCCGGGCGGCTCCGGCTCACGGAGCCAGGAGCAGACCGAGGGGTCGGGGCGGCGCGGGGTCGGAGCTCGAGCGCGGAGTCGGAGCTCGAGCGCGGAGTCTGGGGCCGAGAGCTACGAGCGCGCGGACGCTCGCACAAAGCTTCCCGCGAAACTGACGTACGCGGGGCAGCCGCGAGGAACCGCCCCCCGGCCGCGCCCCTCCCCCGCGCTCGCCTCGCTCCTCGGCGCGCCGGCGCACTCGCTCGCTCCTCATTGGCCGCAGCGGGGCGGCGCGCGCCGGCCGGTGCAGTGCGCGCCCCGCTATTGGCCGGGCCGTGGCGGGCGGGGGTGTGTCCGCTCCGCGCCCCGCCCCCGGCTCGGCTCGCGGTGGTGCGCGCGGCGACAGTGGCGGCGCGTGGCAGGTCCGGCGGGCGCGAGGCGGCGGCGGCGGCGGCGGCGGCGGCGGCGGCCTGAGCCCGGCCCAGCCTCGTCCCGCCCGGCTGCCCGGACCCGACCCCTGCCCGCCCGCCCGGCTCACCCGGCGCGCCGCGGCCCCGCCCCGGCCCGGCGCCTCCCGAGGGAGCGGCGCCGCCGGTAGAGCGCAGGCCTGGCCATGACCGACTTCAAATTGGGCATCGTGCGGCTCGGCCGGGTGGCTGGGAAGGTGAGCGGCGCGGGGCCGGGGGCTGGACCGGTGGGCGCGGGGTCGGGAGCGCTGGGTTGGGCCGGGGGCGCGGGGCCTGGCCGGGGGCGCGGGGCCCGGCGGTTGTGCGGGTGTTGGGCCGGCGGAGTGTCCCCGCGAGCCAACCCTCCGCGGGCCGCGGCCTTGGGGCTCCGACGGTGCGCCGCGGCCCGCGAGGAGGGGGCTAGAGGCTGCGCTTGCGGCCCGGGGAGCGGAGCGCCCTTCCGATGCGGCGCGTTCGCTTCTTGTCAAGACCGGTGTGTGCGCGCCGCTCCGTGCCTGCGGGTCCTAGTGGAGCTTCGCACAGGTTTCACGCTGCCAGCGGTGGCCAAGTCTGGCTGAGCCTCAGTGGGCCTCGCCGGAGCGGGGCCTACCTCTGCTTCTCTCCCTTACCTGGCCCCGCCCTCCGCGTGTTCGAGGCTGGGGCTTCCTAGCACCTGTGGGCATTGAGGCTTGGCTGTTTCCAGGAGCCGGCCGGCCGTGCAGCTGCACCAGCCACGGACCTTACCCTGGATGGGAACCCTGTTCCCATCACCAGCGGCGGAAGCTTCGGGTGGGAGAGAGGAGCAGAGGCAGTCAGATGAAGGTAAAGCAGATTCAGATCCTAGATAAAAGCCTTCCAAGCAAGAGTGAGCCTGGTCCATTTCGGGCCCGTTTCCTGCCCATCGTGCAAGAGGGACGTGGCTTTCCAGCTAGGCAGGGGTGGGTGCCCATCAGCTCTGAGACCCTTTGTGACTCTGGGGCTAGTTACGTTAATGTTATTTTTTAAGGCTTTTTCTTGGAACAAAAAGCTACAGAGGACAATTAAGAGGGGCAGCTGTGTATGGGGTAGCCCTCTTAATAAAGTAAACATTCTTAATAATTGACATGTTTTCGATATTCTATCTCAGTCTGGGCCCCCTCCCTCTATTCGGATGAAGCAACCATGTTGGGCAAGCTTTATTGGCACATTAAAGGCACAGGGTAGAGATTGGCCAGTTTGGTAGCAGTTCTTACGGTTAGTCTGGTGCAGATGGGAAGTGCAGCCTGATACCTACTCCTCTGGCACAGTCTTGGGCGGGGAATGACCAGGTCTTGGCACCGCTCTCTGCTGTTTGTGGTCAACTGCCCAGGCCCCTACCCTGCTGACCTCTCTTAGCCTGAAGGGGCCATTGCTGCGTGTCACCAGCACCTCCCCCAGACCCCAAATGTAACCTTGAAATGTGGTTAATTTGTAGACCAAGTACACCCTGATAGACGAGCAGGACATCCCGCTGGTGGAGGGCTACTCTTTCGAGGTAAGGACGGCCGCCCTTCGTGCCTGGGGAGGGTCACGGGGGCCTGGGGGGCTCCCTCCAGGACCAGGTCTCAGCGCCGCCTCTGTGGCCCTGGTCCTCCCCGAGGCCGCCCTGCTTGCCACTCTTCCCCGAGTACAGAGCAGCTGTGGCGTGTGCGTGACTGAATGCAGCTGGGGACAAGGCCTGGCTCCTTAGGAGACGGTCTGGGCCCCCCCACCTGTCCTCTGGCCTTGGCCCCGTCCGCCTGGGGCCTAGGGCGCTCCTGCCGCCCGTCGTCCGGAGCCCCTGCCGGCCCCTGTCGCCACGTGGCTTCTGTTCATGCCCAGGCCTCCCCCACCCGCTGCTGCTTCTCAGAGACCCCGCGGGGTGCGGGGTCTGGCCCAGGCGCCTCGGCCGTCGCCGCCGTCTCGCCTGCGCGGCGGGCTCTTTAAGGGCAGGGGGGTTCCCGTCTCTGGGCCCGCGGGGTGGTGCGCTGGCTCTGTGAGTGTCCCTTGCTCGGGAGCAGGAGAGCGCTTGTTGGGACGAGGCTGGTTTCCTGAGCTCTGCCGGCTCCCAGGGTCCCAGGAACAGTCCAGCCGCCTGTCCCTCTGGCTTGTTCATTTCACTCGGTTTTTCTAGGCATCATTGAGCTGTTGCCGAGAATCAGAGGTTTTTTAACAAACCTGTGTCTTGTTTTTTCTCAGGCCCGGATGGAAGTAGACGCCGACGGAAATGGTGCTAAGATATTTGCATATGCCTTTGACAAAAATCGAGGAAGGGGGTCAGGAAGGCTCCTTCACGAGCTGCTGTGGTGAGTGCCCCCCGCCCCGCCCCTGCCATGGCCTGCGTGGCCCGGATGTGCACGGGGTGCGTGGGGGCAGGGCAGCCTCGTCTCCGGACCAGGAGCTCTTGCTGTTCCACCGCTCAGGGGGGAGACACAGCCTCCACGGGGAGGGGCCTGGTCCCTGTGGGGCTCTTCCTGAGCCTGTCGGTGGCATGTGGGGAAGAGACTACGGACCTTGGCGTGCACACTGAGGCCGCTCAGATGGGGCGTCTTCTGGGCCGCGTGTCCGATGGTTTGGGGTTCCAGCCCAGCTCCCTGCAGCCCTGCTCTTTCACCCGGGGATTGGACGGTCCGCGTGGTCCTGTATGGGCCCTGGGCGGACACCTTGGGGTCGGGGCAGCCTTGCTCCTAGCGTGACCCTGCCGGTGGGGCGTGACCCTGCCCGTGGGGCGTGACCCTGCCGGTGTGACGAGGGGCCTGTTCGGGTCACGTGGCTGAGACGTCGGGAGGCTCTGGGAGGCGGACCAAGAAACTGTCTGTGTCCTAGGGAGCGGCACAGGGGAGGCGTCGCTCCCGGGTTCCAGGTCGTGCACCTCAACGCCGTGACTGTGGACAATCGCCTGGACAACCTGCAGCTGGTGCCGTGGGGCTGGCGGCCCAGAGCCGAAGAGACGTCCAGCAAACAAAGGTGGGTCTCACGTGGCCTGGCGCTGGAGGCGCGGCCGCCCGTGCGGGCGGACGGCCTCCTCCCAGCGCCCTCCTGCCCCCAGGAGGGGCCCACGCTCTGCTCTGCTGTGACATCGTCTGTGGCCTGGGGGCCTGGGGGCCCTCCTGCAAAGCGCAGGGCCCTCCTTTGTTCTCGGAGGCAGGTGAGGCTCCGACGACTATCCTTCTGGGTTGGTCTTTGATGGCTGGCTCCGCTGGGGAGAGGGGTTGTCTGGCTGGACGCTTGCCCGCGGGTAAGACTTCCCTGGGTTCCCGAGGCACGTGAGGTGTCTTCGTCTCGGGCCTCTCGGCTCTGCGGCCCGGGCAGCAGCTCCTGTGTCCAGCATGGCACCGGCAGCCCCCGGGGGCGGGCAGGATGCAGCCCAGCCATGAGCTTCGCGGGGCCTTGGGGTGAGCGGGGGGACCGGCAGCAGGGGGCGAGCAGGGAGCCGACACGAGCCAGGGGGTCCCTGGGGTTGCTCTGTGTGTCGTCAGGCACCGGGCAGTGGGGGTGACCTCCAGCAGGCGATGTCAGTGGGGTTGGGCAGGTCGGCGTTTCTCGGGATCTCGGCGGGCGGACCCTGGGTGACCCGCTGCAGTGGTCACGCTCGGGGTCCTGCGGAGCCCTAGGCAGCGAGGCAGACACAGCGGGATCGCCGGGCCCAGCATGGCTGGTGGGGAGGGGGCCCCCAGGCTCTCCACAGGGCCCTGCGCACCCTGACTTCCTGCGAGGCTTCCTCGGGGCAGCGCTGGGGCCCGAGCCTCTGGGTTCTTTCCTCCCATGTTAGAGTGTGGCCCTGAAGTCCCTGGTCCTTGAGGGACATTGATGCTTTTATAAGAGTCACTCTGCTAGGTTTTGGGTCGAAAGTGACAGGAACCAGGCCCAGTGTGAAGCAGAGACGGTGCGCACTGGCTCCCCAGGCTGGGGTGTGGGCAGCCACGGGGCTGTGCCTCCGCTTCCCCCTCTGGCGCAGCCCCCAGAGCTGCAGGCTCGCGTTCCACGGCGGCCGTGTCCCCGGGCACCGAAGACACCCTGACGTCACCGCGTCGCCTGTGCTGGCTCACTTCGCCACCGCGCACAGCGGGGAGACGGTTGTGCCCCCGAACGGAGCGATCACGGGCGGCAAGGGCAGCCCGGCGTCCGCGGCCCCCGCGGCCCGGGTGTGGGCCCCGCGCCGTCGCGTCCCCGCTGGGGGCCGGCCCGCAGCCCGGGCAGCAGCCCTCAGCCTGCAGGCGCCGTGCCGCCCGCGGGGCCGCCCCGGCCGGGGCTCGCAGTCCGTTTCTAGCGTCGCTTTTTCCGTTGCCGCTTATCCCCCTCGTCTGCCTTCACCCGTTCATCCCTCCCTTCGCCTTTCTTTTCTTCAAGGGTTCGTTTATTCGTCACCAGGGATAAGAGGAAGGGAGGGAGAGACAGAGGGAGAGAAGCATCCCGGTGCTGCTGCCTCTCAGCACCCCCTGCGGGGGACCCGCCCGCAGCCCAGGCCTGCGCCCTGCCTGGGCGTCGAACCCGCGACCCTTGGGTTCGCAGGCCGGCGCTCCGTCCACGGAGCCGCACCAGCCGGGGCTCCTTTGTCTGCTTTTATTTTTTTAATTATATTTTATTGACTATGCTCTTACAGTCCTGATATTGCCCCCTTGGCCCCTCCACCGAGCACCCCCACCCCCTCAGGCCACCCCCGCCCTTGTTCACGTCCGCGGGTCGTGCGTACAAGCTCTGTGGCGGCTCCATTCCCTCTCCTGTGCTTACATCCCCACGGCTGGTCTGTAACGACCTGTTTGTACTTCTTAGTCCCCTCGCCTCTTCACCCCCTCCCCCCCAATCTGGCAACCAGCAAAACGCTCTCTGTATCTATGATTCTGTCTGTTCTTCGTGTTTGCTTAGTTTGTTTTTTAGATTCAGTTGTTGACAGGTATGCATTTATTGCCATTTGATTGTTCATAAGTTTGACTTTCTTAAGTCCTTTTAATGTTTCGTATGATAATGGTTTGGTGACAATGAATTCCTTTATTTTTTTCTTGTCAGGGAAGCTCTTTATCTGCCCTTCGATTCTAAACGATAGCTTTGCTGGGTAGAGCAAGCTTGGCTCTAGGTCTCTGCTTTTCATGACTGAATATTTCTTGCCGATCCCTTCTTGCCTGCAAAGCTTCTTTTGAGAGATCAGCTGACAGTCTTATGGGAACTCCCCTGCAGGAAACTGCTTTTCTCTGGCTGCTTTTAAATTCTCTCTTTATCTTTAACCTTTGGCATTTTAATTACGACGTGTCTTGGGGTGGGCCTCTTTGCATCCATCCTGTTTGGGACTCTCTGTGCTCCCTGGACTTGCATGTCTATTTCCTTCACCAAGTTAGGGAAGTTTTCTTTGCTATATTTTCAAATAGATTTCCAATTTCTTGCTCTTTCTTTTCTCCCTCTGGCACCCCTGTGATGCGAATGTTGGACCTTGTGAAGTTGTCCCAGAGGCCGCTTACACTAACCTCATTTTGCTGGATTCTTTTTTTCTTCTTGTTTTCAGATTGGTGGTTTTTGCTTCCCTATGTTCCATATTGCAGATTTGATTCTCAGCTTTATCCACTCTGCTGTCGTTTCCCTGTAAATTGTTCTTTGTTTCAATCAGTGTGTCCTTCGTTTCTGACTGGGCCTTTTTTATGCTGCTGAGGTCCTCACTGAGTTCCTTGACCATCCTTATACCCAGCGTTTTGAACTCTGCACCTGATAGATTGCTTATCTCCATTTTGTTTAGCTCTTTTTCTGGGGTTTTGATCTGATCTTTCACTTGGGCCATGTTTCTTTGTCTCCTCGTTTTGGCAGCCTCCCTGTGTTTGTTTCCATGTATGAGGTAGAGTTGCTTTGACTCCCTGTCTTGGTCGTGTGGCCTAATGTAGTTGGTGTCCTGTAGGGTCCAGTGACATAGCCTCCCTATCCCCCAAGCTGGGGACTCAGGGTGCCCCTCCGTGTGGGCTGAGTACACCCTCCTCTTGTATCTGAGCCTTGGTTGCTGTTGGCAGGTCAATGGGAGGGGTTCACCCAGGCCAGTCAGCTGTGCAAGGACTGGCTGTGACCACTGACCACCACCCTCCGCCCTCCGTGGAGGATCAGCTGTGCAGGGCGGGGTGGCGGTGCTCCGACGTGGTCTGTGGCTGCCCACTGGGTGCGCTGGCCCTGGGGTTTCCCGGTGGTGCAGGCCAAGGTCGGCCCCCACCCGTGTTCTGCCTGGGGCCGCCCCACCTGCGCTGTAAAGCCTCCTGAGACGGCTGCCGCTCGTGCTGGGCCTGGGGACCCTCAGCAAGAGCTATGGAGGCTGGGTCTCACTGAGGCCGGCTGTGCTTGCGTGAGAGGATTTGGGAAGCTGTGCAGCAGGAGCCAAGACCATTCATTCCTATCGAAAAGCTACTGTTAACGGCTGTAAGTTGGGTGGAACGAAGCCTCCGGAAACACCCAGGGTTTCCAGTGTGAACCAGGTCAACGGAGCCCCAGATGGGGCCCCAGCTGCCTGCCCTGCGCCTCTGCCGGCCTTTCTGTCTGGGGGAAAGCCGGCCCCCGGCGCCCCCCTTGATGCCAGGCACGTCCGGTGCTCCCTGGGTGCCGCTGGGGCCTGTCAGCCTGCCACCCCGGTGCCCGAGCTCAGAGGGAGGGAGTCTGAGGAGGTGCGGCCGTGTGTGGGTTCTTTAGGGGAACCGCTTGGGGCTGCAGCAGTTTCTTCCACCAACACAGTCCCTGCTGGTTTTTGCAGCCAGAAGTTGTGGGGCCTTCTCTTCCGGGCCCTGGAACCCTGGGCAGGCGGCCTGGTGTGGGGCTGGGACTCCTCGCTCCCGAGACGCCTGTCCCTCCTGAGTTTTTACCCACCGCGCGTGGGCGAGGGGCTAGCCCGTTCCGTGTCTGCACCCCTCCTGCCGGTCTGGGTGGGTGTGGCTTCTCTGAGTGCACGGACTCGGCTTCCGCCTGTTCTGGGCGAGGGAGGCCCTGGACGTAGCTGCAGTTCGGAGGGGCCGTGGGAGGGGCTGTGCGGCGTTTGCCTGGGCCTCCGTCCCAACTGGGACCCTTTGTCTATTTTCAAATTGAGTTATTTCGTTGTTGAATTGTCGTTGTTCTTCACATATTCCAGATATCAATCCATTATCAGGTGGATGTTTGCAGGTATTTTCTCTCATTCTGTGGGGTGTCTTTTTATTCTGTGTATAGTGTCTCTGGGGGCACGTGTCCAGGATTTTGCGAACTCTGATGTGTCGTTGCTCTTCTGCCAGCTCTGTCTCTGGTGTTGTATCTGAGAAATCATGGCAAGGTTGGTGCAATGCAGCCTTGGCTCTGCGTTTTATTCTGTGAGATCTTCTGTTCAAGTTCCTGTTTTTAAAAAAATTTTACTGTTTTCGAGAGAAAGATCAATTTGTTGTTCCACTTGATAACGCACTCGTTGGCTGACTCTTGTGTGTCCCCTGACTGGGCATCCAGCCTGCGCCTCGGTGCATCAGGACCGTGTGCTGACCAGCTGGCCTGCCCAGCCAGCGCTCTGTGAGGTCTTGTGTTTAGGTGCCTGTTTTGTTCTGAGTCAGTTTTCGTACGCGGTGTGAGGTGAGGGTGACCCTTCTGCCTTTTACCCAAGTCCCTGCAGGCCTGGCCCCCGGGGCGGGCCCAGCTCCGGGTGGGCTGCCCTCTGCCCCGCCCGCACCTGCCAGCCCCAGCTCTGTCGCGCACCTCGCTCAGCTCTGGCGTCAGCGGGAGCTCTTCGGTGGCGACCTTGCTGTCCACTCCCACAGGACAGGTGTTGAGGAGGATGTGGAGCCGTTCACAGCACTGAAGTGGGGGAGGACCCACCAGGGACCGGAGCAGGCGCTGCTGGGGCCGTCAGCAGGGGAAAGGCTGCCTGGCCATGCTCAGGTGGCCTGGGCCTGGCTGGGCAGTAGGACTGAGACCGCACGGTCCCCGTGCCTGCTCGGTGCCCGTCAGTCCCAGGTGTGGGAGAGACACGCCCTGCTCTGCACCTTTTGGTGGAAAAGCAACGTGTGCCAAGGGCTTGCTGTCGTGTGGAGAAAAGGCATGCGGCGCGGCGGCCTGCGGCCACGGCAGACACCAGGGCGGGGTCTCGAGCGGGAGGCAACAGCCCGTCCACCCTGGAGCCTCGCCGCGGTCGCCTGTGCCCTGAGCGGCCCCTTCTCTCCTCCAGGGAGCAGAGCCTGTACTGGCTCGCGATCCAGCAGCTCCCCACGGACCCCATCGAGGAGCAGTTCCCGGTCCTGAACGTGACGCGGTACTACAACGCCAACGGGGACGTGGTGGAGGAAGAGGAGAACGCCTGCACCTACTACGAGTGCCACTACCCTCCCTGCACGGTGATCGAGAAGCAGGTACGGGCTGCTGCACTCCCTGGGTCCCCGCGGGCCCCTCACTGCCTCTCTGGCCGAGGGGGTTGGGGTCGTGGGTGCTTCCTGCCGGAGGGGTAGTGCCTCTGCGTGACCACGAGGCCCCCTGCTCTGTGTCCTTCCAGCTCCGGGAGTTCAACATCTGTGGGCGCTGCCAGGTGGCCCGGTACTGTGGCTCCCAGTGCCAGCAGAAGGACTGGCCTGCCCACAAGAAGCACTGTCGGGAGAAGAGGCGCCCCTCCCAGCACGAGCTCGAGCCAGAGCGGTGACTGGGCGTGGGCGGCAGCGCAGCCCCAAGTGGCATCGGTCTTCCCTGGGCACCGCGGACGCGGTGGTGGCTGAGCCTGGCGGTGCTGAAGAAGCCAGCCATGCGCCCGGCGCGGCGCGGCGGACACCCCGTCCCGGCGCTTGGTGCTGCGGCGCGGCGCCCCCGGAAGTGCTCCCTGGAGTAGAGACAGCCGAGCCGGGAGGCTCCGCCAGGAGGCTTCTCGTTATTTATATGTTAATATGTTTGTAAACTCATGTACAGTTTTGGGGGGGAGGCAGTGGAGGGTTAGAAGTGACAAATAGAATCATTTGCTGTAATCCTCAAATGGCGACGGTCAGCCCACGTGTCTCACACTGTCCGGGAGCGGGAGCCGCCCCCTGGGCGCTGCACGGTGTCCCCAGCTCACACTCTTGCCTCGATGCTGGGCACGCTGCCCGTGGGTCCCGGGGGGCGGGGCGGGGCCTGCCTTGCTCTGGGCTTTCCTGGAGAGTGGCCGGCAGCCCTGTGGCCGAGCAGGCCAGCCACCCTCGGGCAGGCACGGAGCGATCGCAGCCTGGCCATGGGAGGCCGTCGCTTGGACTCTGCTGAGTGGCTGGGAGCTGCACGGGGCCTGGCCCCCAGGTCCGCGGAGGCAGCCAGGGTGCCTGAGCTCTGCCGCCTGCCCAGTGGGCAGGGCCCCCGCTCCTGGAGCCACAGGCGTCCGCGTGCTGGGCGGCCTCTGGCCCGGCGGCGCGCCCTGCACAGCCCCTTGGGGCAGTGCGCCTGGCCGTGTGGCCGGCACCTGGCTGGTCTCCCGGTCTGGCCGGCTCACTGCAGGCCTCGCCTCCTGGCCACCCCAGCTCTGACGGTCCCAGGCTGTCCCCAGCCTGGGAGGCCCTGCTGCGCATTCCCTCCCGCAGCTCTTCCGACATCGCCCAGGAGGCCTGGGTGGCCGCTGCTTCCCTGGTTGGGACAGCCCTGGGGTGACCTTTGGCCTGGGAGCTGAGCTGCTCGTGGTTCCTGCGCACGCTCGGTGTCCTGGGCAGTGTGCCCTGGAGGACAGGTCCGGGCAGCGGGGGAGGGCAGCGTGCAGGGAGCAGTGGGCCTGGTCCTGACCCTGAAGGAGGGTGTTTCGAAGGGGTGAGTCCTCCACGTGCTCCCCACACACTTGTGTGGACTGAGCAGCTCACCTTTGCCACTGCAGGTCCAGTGTGGCGTGTTTTCTAGGTCAGAGACATGTGCTGCACACTTGTTCCAAGTGCGCCCGGACCCTTTGCTGAGCAGTGATGGGCGCAGACCTGGTGGGGCAGGGGGTGCATGGGACGCTGAGGTCTTCCCTGCAGACAGCTGGCACCCGGCACCTGGTTTCTCTCCGGGTGGCCCCAGCCTGAGAGGGTCAGTGAGTTCAGCACTCGGGAGGGTAAATGCGGGGCTTGTTCCCAGCCAGTTGGAGTGCAGCGTGTGGGGCTGTGGATGTGACCCTCTTGTACCAGCCTGAGGCTCAGCTGTCCAGACTGCCTTGCTGCAGCTGCCGCCCGAGCTGCTGACTCATGTCTGTATTTGTAGCCGTAGCCCTGCCTCCGAACCGCAGGCTGCCTGCCCGGGTCTCCGTGTGGGACCCACTCACCATGCCGAGGCTCCCGCTAGCTGCTGTAACCAGTGTCCTCAAGCGGGCGGCCTGAAGCCGTCGGTCCTCTCCTGGAGGCCTGGAGGCCCAGCCAGGGGTTGGGCAGGGCTGCCCGCCCCCTCCCGCCCCCCGCAGGAAAGGTGTGTTCCGGCTGCTCCAGCGTCCGCAGCCTCCCAGCCGCCGGGGGCTTGTCCTCCCCTGGGTGCGCGGGTGTCCCTGACATGCCAGAGTCCCCTCACGAACAGCAGTCCCTGCGTGAGGGCCCACCCTAAGGACCCGTCTTCACTGGATCCCTTCTGGAGAGACCCTGGCTCCGAAGGTCACATTCTGCGGTGCTGGGAGACTACAACATCGGTCTGGGGGCTCAGTACAGTCCGTAACTGTCCAAATTTGCCTTCCCTGAACCTGCTGGGCAGAATGCGCTCGTTTCCTTGAGCGATGCAAGCTCCCTTCCCGTCTCCCCCGTCAGGGTGCGGCTGTCCCGGGTTAGCCCTTACGGCCTAAACCTAACTGGCCGCGGGACCCTTGCCCCCCTGAGCACCGGTGTTCCGTGTGCTCGCGCATCTGCCTGCCCCTGCTCCCGCGGGGACCTCCAGCTGGCCCCCTGTGCCGTCTCTCCGATGTGCTGGCCGGTGGGCCTGCGTACACCCCCGCTTCCCCCCGTCCCCCGGCGCTGCGGGTGGACATCGGGGAAGGAGGGCAGCCGAGGCCCAGCCCTTTGACCTCGGACTCTGCTCCCTGAGTGTCCTGGCCCTGCGCACCCCTCCACTTCCATGCCTGCTTCCCCTCCCCCTTCGCTCGCCGTTCCGGGCCCAGCTGTCCTGCCAGTACGTGCGGGACCCGGCCGTCCCGTCCACACCGCCGGCTCGCCTCGGGGCCGGGTGGCACGTCCTGCCGGCACGTGGGGCCCGCCGAGGCCCGCCGGCCTGTAGGGGGCGCAGGAGCCCGGCCTCACGCTGGTGGCCCTGCCGTCGGAAGTCCCGCCCCGATATCCGGAAGGAGGAGGGAGGGAGGGACGGCAGCGGGAGAACAAGTACCTGTTGCGTGGCCGGTCCCCGCGTGGTGCTCCGGTGCCCAGTCCTGACCCCGACCCCGCTCTCGGCCGCGGCCCGGGCTCGCACGCTGGCTTCGCCTCCCCTCCCCCTCAGCTCGGCATCCAGCGGCCCGCCGGCCGCCGCGTCCTCCGGCGGCTGTGGGATGGGCTGTCGCCTGCAGCTGCTGCAGGCGGTGGACACGGAGTACACGGCGGACTCGGTGGAGTGGTGCCCGTTGGAGGGCTGCCGGCGCCTGCTGGCCTGCGGCACCTACCAGCTGCGGGCGCCGGAGGGCGAGGTGCGCGGGGCCCCGGCTGGGCGGTCCCGGCGGCGTCTCCCGGGGGCTGGGGCCCGCCCGGGTCTGCGGTCGGGGAGGCGGAGGAGAGTCTAGAGGGAGTCCCGGCACGGAGATGCGGCCTCGGCCTTGCGGCCGGGATGTAGGTTAGGTGTGTGCAGTGTGACTCCAGCTTCAGGGTGAAACGTTGAGTGAAGAGGGATCCAAGTCCGGACCCTTGACAGTGGGAACTGGCCCCGCAGCCCAGGACGCAGCCAGGGCCGTCCCGCTGGGGTCCTGGGCACAGCTGGCCCGTGCGCCGGCTTAGAAGGAGGGCCCCGTGCTGGGCCCCACACCCACGGTCACGGATCCCCTGCGGGGAGGAGACACTCTCCAGCTCAAAGTCGGGGCCCCACCGTCAGTGTCCGCGGGGGTGATCGGGATACATCTGCGTCTTTTGTAGAGTGAACTGGACGCTGCCAAGCCTCAGACCCGCTTAGGTCGTCTCTACCTGTACACTTGCAAGGAGGACCTCGCTGCGTGCTCCCTGGCCGAGGTCCAGAGGATAGACACCAATGCCATCCTGGACATGAAATGGTACGGGCTCGGCCGCAGCCCCGCCCGCCGGGCGTTTGTCCCTTGGTCAGGGAGCCTGATGCCTGGCCGCGTTCCCCGGGGGCAGTGCCGAGCCGTGGGTTCGTTCCTTCACCGCCCCACCCACCCGCGGGCAGCTGCAGGGTGAGGTGGACTTGGGGTTCGTTTCCTTTTTCAGCTTCCAAGCCCCACAGTTAATATTCCGAGAAGTAACGTTGGTGTTTTGATGTGTAAGTTGGGGGTTTGTTGGACCAGAGCTGTAGGCTCCAGAGCAGGGCAGGGGCTGAAGTTTACGCGATAAGCTCCTGTGCCCTGGCCACGTCCCCGGTTCTGACCGGCCCGTGGCTTCTCTCCTCAGGTGCCACGTCCCGGTGGCTGGCCATGCCGTCTTGGGTGTGGGAGACGCTGCTGGGTGCATACAGCTGTTCCAGCTGGTGGGATCCGAGGTCAGTGACTGGGACTGGGCTTTGTAGCGGGGGAGGGACCAGGGCGGGGGGTGGGTTCGGGAGGGAGACTGACAGCAGCGCCTTCCTAGGGTTTTCCTGTGCAGCTTTATCGTGAACGCTCTAAGGTCGCACGCAGTGTGTTTAAGTCACTGGGTTTGCGAGGTCACCTCCGTGTCACCAGCAGAAGTGGCAGGCTGTTGGTTAACCCGTCGACGGGTCTGAAGGTTCTCCCTAAAGGGAGCCTGGACCGGCGTTGCCGGGCGGATGCTACGGGGGGAGCCGCAGTGACTTCCCCCCAAGGGGCGGTCCTTCCCAGCAACAGCAGAGCGCGGGGTCCCCGCGAGGACTCGCGCGTGCCAGCCGTCCGCAGCGGCAGCCCGGACCGGTGGGAGTCCCGGGGCGGGGGGGCAGCCCGCGGGAGCCTGCCTGTCGCGGGGCGCGTCCCGCTGCCAGTGGCCGCGGCGCGGGGTGTGTGGCCGCAGAGGGCTCCCGCGGGAAGGCCTCGCTTCAGGCTGGCCAGGAGCAGCAGCCCCATCCTGGAAGGTCCTGCGGGCGAGGGCGGGCGTTCCGGGCAGGACGGTTGTGCGGAGCCGGGTGGAGGGCACGCAGCAGCCTGCACGCGCCCTGGTGAAGCTGCCGGCTGGGAGCCTGCGGGTGCCGCGGGGCACGGGCCAGGTTGCTTAGGTGATGAAATTTACCTAGACCTGGGAGAAACAGTGTTTTAACGGCGGGTCGTGGCTTCCGAAAGGAAAACCCAGGAGCACGCCCGTTGTCTGTGTCTCTGGAGACACAGCCGCTGCGTCCCCGGGGGCCTGGGGCTGCCGCGGGCTCTCCAGGGCGCTTGCCGGCGTGTGGAAGCACCCTGGCGGTGTGGACGGCGCGGGGTCTGAGGAGGAGGGTGGCCTGCTTCCCCCACAGTCCCGGGTACAGGAGCCCCTACAGGCGTGCGGGGGGCAGGGCTCGGTTCTGCGGTGTCCGCGGGTCCCCTCAGTGAGTGGCGACGCGTGGCTCGCCTGACAGGAAACGAGGGACCACCGGCTGTGGAGCTGGAGGAGCAACCTTCCCAGGCCCCTGGGCTGCGCCCCTGACAGCATCCCTTCCCTCCAGGGGACCCTGCGGCGGGCGGCCAGCTTGGCCCTGGACGAGCAGTGTCTGGCCTTGTCGCTGGATTGGTCCACTGGGAAGACCGGAAGGTGAGGGCCCCGCCGTTGCTCTGAGGGCTCCTTCCTGCTCTCACGCGGGAGAGAATTCGAGCCGCCTGTGTGAGCCTTGCCTGGGCTCCCAAACCTGGGGGCGTCGGGCCAGGCCCGGCCTGCAGAGGAGAGACTGCGGCCTTTCGGGGGCCACGGGCGGGGTTTTCCCCAGCAGAAGGGGACCTGGGCTGCTGTGGCAAGCCGAGTGGTAGCTCTGGCCCCTGCCAGGGGCCCCGGCCAGCTTCTCAGGACGCGTGGTCTCTCCCAGGACCCGCCTTGGGGGCGTGGAGTGTCACCGCTTGGGAGCCAGAAGAGGGCGGTGAGTGGGGGTGTCTGCGTGATGTTCTGCTGGGTTTCTCCATTGGTCCTCTGTGCCCAGGGCCAGTGGCCAGCCCTTGGAAATGATCAGCAGCGACTCCAAGGGGCAGCTGCACCTGCTGAAGGTGGACGCGGCGGGGCCGGGACTGCAGGCGGCGGCGACCTGGCAGGCCCACCACTTCGAGGCCTGGGTCGCGGCTTTCAATTACTGGCAGACGGACATCGTGTATTCAGGTTGGCGCCCCCGCGCCGGGCGGCGGTCACCTCATCCTCGTCACTGTCTCTCTGGGGACTTGTTGGGCGGGGCGGGCACAGGCGCCGCCGCCGGCGCCGGGCGCTGGGATGCTCGATGGCGTCGACGTGCCGGCCTAGGCCCTCCTGGCCGCTCCCCGCGCTGCTCTTCCTCTCGCTCTGCGCTGCCGCCTCTGCCGGGGGCGTCCCTCACCGTCCGCCCCCCTCCTGGGTCCCTGCTCCGCGCCCCGGGGACCCGTCGCCGAGCCTCCTGTCGGGTCCGCCGCCGGCACACCTGCCCCGCTGGGTGGCCGAAATCGGACGCCTCTGCCCCTCACGCCTGCCGAGGGCCCGTGCCTGGTCAGCCTCGCGCTCTCGGGTCTCAGAACGGGCCGCCTCTCTCCCGTCGCCGGTCCAGGCCGCCGTCTCTCCGTCTGCCGGGGACCCTCCCTCTGTTCGCGCTTACCCTCCCTGGGGACAGCGCCTTCCCGCTCTACCTGCATCGCAGCCTGGAACAGGCTTAGCGAAGAGTGAGGGTTCGACTTCTGTGGCTTCTGGCTCTGAGTCCTCCCTTCAGGCTCAGCTAATTCAGAGCAAGGGGCCGTGGAGCAGTGGGTGAGTGACTCTGAGCCGGTCCGCTGATTTAGCAAGTGTTCACTGAGCACCCACTATGTACCAAACCTGGTTCTAGGTGCACAGCACCTTGGGGCGCATCAGTGAACAAGGGGCAAAGGCCGTGCTTGCACCGAGCTCAGGCTGAGAGAGAGGAGGTGGGGAGCGAACACGACACAAAACACACAGCAAGCAGGGGGCACAGGAGGTCAGGTGACAGGTGCCGTGGAAAGGAGCAAGGGCAGGGTGGGGGCCCGGGGGGGCCGTGGCCGGTGCAGGTGGTGCCGTTGGCCCAGAGCAGGAGGGAGCCCGCCACGGCGGGGCCGGCCCAACAGGAGGGCCTCGGGGCGGGGGAAGGTGGTATCGCAGGTCCCAGGCGCCAGGTCCCAGGAAGGACCTGGGCCTCTGCTCCGTGTGCAGCAGGAGCCCAGCATTGCCTGCGGGGCCCTCCCAGGAAGGGGCTTCTCTGTCCTCTCCCCGTTAGCGCGAGGGGGCTGACACTGCAGCTCTGCCGCCTGGCAGCACCCTGAGCCCCCCAGGAAAAGCCAGCCCTGGAGTTGCCGTGGCCACTGGGCTTTTCTGCTTCTTCCACACAGGGGGGGACGATGGCTTTCTGAAGGGCTGGGACACCAGGACACCCAGCACATCTGTGTTCAACAGCAAGAGGTACCCCCGCCCCGGGGCCAGTGCTGGGCTCGGGGCAGCAGCACCTGTCCCGCGACTGCGGGCTCCCCGTGGGCAGTGGCCCTGCCCCCGCGGGCTGAGGTGGTGCCCCTCCCTCGCAGGCACTCGATGGGCGTGTGCAGCGTGCAGAGCAACCCCCACCGGGACGGCATCCTGGCCACGGGGAGGTGAGCCCCTGCCGGTCCCTGGACCCTTTCCCCGGGCCGACCGTGGCGAGGCTGAGCGGGCCGGCGCCCCAGCTGGGTGTGGGGGGACAGGGGCTGGAGCGGGTCCCCCAGGAGTGCCAGCCCACCAAGGGGAACGCCCTGCGCCCTGGGGTGGCTCGGTTCCAGCTACGATGAGCATGTCCTCCTCTGGGACACCCGGAACATGGAGCAGCCGATAGCAGACGTGCCCGTGCAGGGCGGCCTGTGGAGGCTCAAGTGGCACCCCCGGCACAGCCACCTGCTCCTGGCGGCCTGCATGCATGGTGGCTTCAGCGTCCTCGACTGCAGACAGGCCCTCGGTGAGTAGGGCCGCAGCAGCTGGCCGGGAGGGCTCCCCGTGCCCGGTCCCCTCCCTGCACCAGACTCCGCCCACACGGGGCCCGCGCCCCCAGGCCGTGCTGTGGCGCACACCCCGGTCTCCGTGGCAAGCACTCTGCTCTCGTCCTGGTGCCCCAACTAGCTTGGCGGGTCTGGAGCCTTCTGCACGGCGGAGGGTCCCCCAGCCCTCTGGGGCCTCTGCCCCGGGAGCCTGCACACCGGTCGCTCCCGGCGCCCCCTGGGCTCCCTCCGGCTGGCGGGCAGTGTGCTGTGCGTGGCCCGATGTCCCGACCAGGTTCCGACCTGCCCATCCTGCTGCCTTCTCATGTCTCTGGGCAGGACGCAGCGTCGGCTCTGCCGGACTCTGCCCTGCCTGAGCCGTGGGGCGTGGCCGCAGGCAGCGGGCACCTGCGGGGCCTCGCAGGAACCGGTGCTGACCGAGGCAGGCAGCCGAGGTCCTCCTGCAGCCCGCACCTCCTCACTGCCCGACCTGCTCCTCCCGCCGGGCTGTCTGCTCGCACCTGCTTTCCCTCTTCACTCGCAGCTCAGCTCTCAGCCTCCCCTTCCGCCTCGGCGGTGCGCGGAGGCGGGAAGACTCCGCGTCGCCCTTTCACGCGGATGGAGACTCCTCTGGCACTGGGCAGGGGTCTGCCAGGCGGGGGTCCCCAGGCTCCCGAGGGGATCCTGTGGCGGGGTCTGTCCAGGGTCTCTGCGTCCGCTCGGGAAAGAGTGGCCTTGAAGTCTGCAGCCCTCGCCGCTCAGCGGCCACGTTTTCTGCGTGGGCCGGGCTCTGCTGTGCTGTGTGTTCCTTGTGTGCTGACCTTGTCGCGTAAGGTGTGCCTTCGTCTGGTGACTTGTTCTGCTTGTCCCAGAGGCTCCTCGTGTCTGACAGTGGGCCCACGCCGGCCCCCTACGGGGGCCGAGGGCATGGCGCACCGCTTCCGTCTCCCCCTTCAGCCTCCCCCGGGTGTGGTTCTGGGTGTGTCTTCTGCAGCGGGTCTGCCCCTTTGCCAGTAGCGTCGCAGAGGTGGCGTTCTGCCCGCCCCTGCCTGCGCCGTCGGGAGCCACGTGACGCCGCTCGTCCCTTCGCCGCTGATGTTCATCCTCCTTCGATCCCTGGGGCCAGGCGGGCAACCTGGGCTTCCCCACGGGGACGGTGCTGCCGCCCTAGGAACTCGGGGGCGCGGCGCGCGCGGCCGCCCGGCTTAACTTTTGGAGAGAGGAGAAGGGAGGGAGGAGGGGGGAGAGAAGCGTGAACGGTCGCCTCTGGCGCGCGCCCTGAGTGGGGGTCCAGCCAGCGACCCTGGCACGCGCCCCGACCGCGAATGGAACTGGCGGCCTTCCGGGTTGCGAGGTGACCCTCCAACCACGGGCGCCACACCGGCCAGGGCCCCCGCTCATGCCTTGCAGATGACGTGCTTCGCCGGGTTTTGGTTGTAATTGTGCACCTTTCTGCAACAGTAAATGTGTGTCTATATGTATTCATACTTCTTTCCTGTACAAAACTAGTCCTTACACACCCTGATGCTTCATGGATTTCACTTAAAAACGCAGCGGTGGACAAAAGGAGGTTTACAGTTGAGAGCGTGAAAGTTTCTTCTGGTGTTACACACTTACTCTCCCTCGTGGTGTTTGTTTACCACCCTTGACCCGCCGTGTCTGCCGCCGCCGCGTGCAGGCTCACAGAGCCCCCCTACCTGAAGTCGGCAGCGCTCTGTTCACTGGTGGTTCTGCCACGGTTTCGTCCGGTTTTCGCTGTGCGTGTTTGGGTTGTTTCCAGCATTTTGCAGCTACAGATAATGCTTCACGCGTGTTTTGTTTGGTTGGAGGCGTGTCTTCAGTGTCCCTGCCTGGCTGTGGGACGGCAGGGTCGCAGGTCCCTGCACCTCACCTGCGCCCCCGCCAGCCCGGGGCAGAGCGGCGGCCCGGGGCGGGAGCTCTGCATGCGGCGCCGGAGAGGTGGGTCCCAGCCTGCCTGCGTGAATGGAAGGTGTTTTCGTGCGTCGTGGGGCTGGTTTTCTAGTTCTGTCCCTTGCGAGTCACCTTGGTCCGCCTCTGGCCTGTGCTCCCCCCGGGGCCGGGTCTTGGCTTCCCAGAGCCCCTGCGACCCAGGGCTCTTGCCCGTTGTCGCTGCTTCGTGTTGGAGGTACTTTTGTTCCCTTGGTTCCTTGCCCACACAGAAGTTTTCCTTTTTTAATTTACATTTCACTTTAATTTTTTATTTATTGATTTTAGAGACAGAAAGGTAGAGGTGTGTCGGGGAGGGGGGGGGGACATCCGGTTGTTCTACTTACTCAAACGCTCTTGGTGGATCCCGGGGAGCGGACCCACAGCCTTGGCACATGAGGACAACGCTCCAACCAGCTGAGCTGCCCGGCCTGGCCCAGTTTTGTGTGCGCGCGCGTGTGTGTTTAACGTAGTTAAATTTGTAGATATTTTTCCATCGACCCTGGATTTCGAGTCTTAGTTAAGAAGCCTCTTTCCTCCCACACTCGGGCGGAGGAGGCATCAGCGTCCCCCTCGAGTGCCTTGTGTGGCTTTGGGGTCACACGGGGGAGCCGAGCGGCCAGAGCTGCCCTGGCGTCGCTCACGGGGCCCCCGGGCCTGGGGTGCCGCCCGCCTCACCGTGGCGCTGCGGGCGCCCGGCGCTGGGCTCCTCTCCCTCCTCTGTCCACGGGCGGCCAGGCGTCTGTCTCCCTCGGGCCTCGACTCTGGGCTTGTGTTTTCAGGGTTTTCTTGACTGTTCTTGTATTTTGAACCCGAGTGTCAGCTTGTCTTGTCTCATAAAAAAAGCTTACTGGTGTTTTTATAGGGGTTGCATTAAATATAAAGTTAACTTTACAACAGAGTTATCATCTGGGGTTGTCTTATTCAAGAAAAGGGATATGTTTCCACTTGTTCAAGTCTGTTTCTCTTTTTCATTAAAGATTTTATTTATTTTTAGAGAGTGAGAAGGGAGGGAGAAAGGGAGAGAAACATCCGTGTGTGGTTGCCTCTCGTGCGCCCCCCACTGGGGACCTGGCCGGCAGCCCAGGCCTGGGCTCCAACTGGGAATCGAACCGGCGACCCTCTGGTTCGCAGGCCTTAGTCAGTCACTGAGCTCCATCAGCCAGGGCAGCAACACTCTCTTTCGTTACCTCTTCTGACTGGATGTTGTCTGAGTATTTGAAAGCTGTTGGGTTTTTTTGTTGTTGTTGGCCATTTCATCTGTGACTGTCTTATTAAAAATATGTTTTGTTGTGCCCTGGCTGGTGGGGCTCAGTGGACTGAGGGCCGGCCTGCGAACCACAGGGTCACTGGTTCGATGCCCAGTCGGAGCCCAGGCCTGGGCTGCGGGCCAGGTCGCCAGTAGGGGGCGCACGAGAGTCACCAACACACGGATGTTTCCCTTCCTCTCTTCCCCTCTCTCTAAAAATAAAGAAATGAAATCTTTAAAAAATACAGTTTTTATTGCTTCTGTTAGTTTTATTGATTCTCTGGGCTTTCCGAGTAAATGTGTCATCTGCCAAAAGGTATAATTTTATTCTCTGTCCTCCAGTTCTGATGCCTCTGATCGCTCTCTCCTGTGGGAGCCCCGTCCCGATGCCCCAGCACAGCGTTGGCAGCGTCGGAGGGGAAGGCCTTCTGGCTGCTTCTGGCTTCGCGGGGACGTGTCCCTCCCTCCCTGCTGGGCCTTGGGGTCTACGATGTCTAAGGACTAAGCGTCTCTATTTTAATCATGGTGAAGAGGTGTAGCTATAAATGCCTGTTTTCCTGAGGGTTTGTTTTTTTTAATCAAGATTGTTAAGTTTTTGCCAGACGGTTTTCTCATATTGAACTGGGCTCATTTTCTTTTTGGATACATTAATGTGAATTTGTTTATGGATTTCCTAATACCAATGTGTTTCTGGGATAAACCCCACTTGGTTTTTTGTTTGTTTTTTTAGATTTATTTTATTTTTAGAGAGAGAGAAAGAGAGGGAACATCCCTGTGGGGTTGCCTCTCGCGTGCCCCCTGCTGGGGACCTGGCCCGCAACCCAGGCCTGTGTCCCAACTGGGAAGTGAACCTGCGATCCCTTTGTTCACAGGCCAGCGCTCAGTCCACTGAGCCACACCAGCTAGGACCCCGCTTGGTCTTTTTAATAATATTGGTGAGAGAGAGAGAGAGAAACATTGATGTGTGAGAGGAACATTTATTGGTTGCCCCTTGTTTGCGCCCCGACTGGGGCTCGATGGGGATCGAACCCACAACCTTCTGGTTCACAGGATGGCGCTTCAACCAACTGAGCCACCCAGACAGGCCCCACTTGCTTATTGTTAACGTGGCCTCTGGTGCTGTTTTATTTATGGTTTTGCATTACTGTGCAAAAGTAACAGGAATATTCTTTCGTGCTATTTTTATCAAGATTTGATATCAGCAGTATGTTTGATTCATGTGAAAATCAAAACCAAAAGTGTGAAACTTTTTCTTCACTTTTCTCTTAAATAAGTTGCGTTTGTCATTTGGATTATTTTTTCTTTCAAGACTCGGCCACGTTCCCCCATGAGGCTGTGTGGCCTGTCCTGGTTTCGCGTGGCAGCCGCTGGGCAGCCTTGTGTTCTTCTGTGTGAGTGGGTTGGGTTGTGCTTCGTCTGTGCTGGGTCAGTTTTGATGAACTGTGGTTTCTTAGGCTGTTGTTCCTTTCACCTACATTGTGATGTTTATTTGCATAAAGGACTGGAAAGGAGTCACTTGTGATTTTTTTAAAAAAATCCTTTTTAATGGTTATTTCCTTATGTTTTACTTTGTGTATTTATGCAAACATACAAATATATGTGCATACTCTTGTTTCCTTAGGTTAGTTATTGGTTTCTGAATTGTAGTCTTTTAAAGAAATAGAATTTTGATTTTTTTATTACAGGTGAATGGGTTTTCCGTTCTCCGTCTCATCAGTTTCTCCTCTGGTCTTTGTTGTTTCCCTCCTTGTATCTCCTTGGCTCTTCTTTTGGCATTTTGAGTTAGGAATACAATTTACTTACCTTTATTACCTTGTTTGTATGAATTAAAGTGTTTGAGTTTTTCTCTGAAGTATCTTTTTAGGTTCTGATTATGTACTCATTTCACGTCCATTTTGAAGAAGGAACTTCTAGCCCCGGCTGGTGCGGCTCAGCAGACGCAGCGCCAGCCCGGGAGCCGGAGGGTCACTGGTTGGAGTCCCCGTCGTGGCCAGGCCTGGGCTGCGGCCGGGTCCCCAGCAGGGGGCGCGCGAGAGGCAGCCACACAGGATATGTCCCTCTCCGTCCCCCTCTCTCTCTCAAAAAAAATGTCTTTTAAAAAAAGAAAAGTAATTCTGCTGTTTCAGTCTGCAATTCCCATTTTAACCAAGTGTGGCTTAGTAAGTGTCCAACTTTCCGGGCGGCGGCGTCTCTGTGTTCACGGCTGTGTTGCTGCAGTTCCGTTGTTGCGCGCGGGCCAGGGTGCTGCTTGCCGGGCCTGCTCTGCTCTCGGGGCTGCGGGTGTTGGCGGCCTAAGCCGGCTCTTCCCCTGTCGGCCCGAGGCGCGGCCGTGGCCCCTGTGAGGCGGGAGGAGCCAGCGGCGCCGCTGGGGCTCGCAGCGGTTGTCGGGTGAAAGGCTGCCGTGGGCCCTCAGTGTCCCAGCGACCCGTCCTGGGTCCTTCCCGGTGTTGCTGTGGAGGGACAGGGGTGGGTCCCTGGGAGCACCCCGCCGTCTCCGGAAGCCCGAGGCCTGACGCCTGCCGGGGGCGCTGCTGCCCGCACGAAGCCGGGGTCTTCCCTGCTGGGGCTGTGCTCTCGGCAAGCGTCCTCACTCCAGCGCCCACCCAGTCTGTCTGTGGCCATCGTTGCCCCTGCTCGGTCTGAGGGCGATTCGGGTCCCGGGGGCGCGGGCCCCGCACTCGGAGGCAGCGGTGGCCACCCTTCCCGAGTGCGTGGCTGTCCAGGCTCTGGGCCTTCCGCTGGGGACGCTGTTCTCGGGCCGCATCCAGCTCACCGGGCAGCCTCGGTCCCGCGCTGGACCCGAGGCCACCTTGGGTTTGGAGACGCCTCACCATCTCTGTTATCAGTGGTGGGTGGCCTGTCTCCTGGAGCTCTGACCAGCCACCCCCCAGCCTCAGAGCGGCTGTGGCTACTCACCGCGGGAAGACTGCGCGTGCAGAGTTCCCCGTGACTCCTTTCTGAGCTGAAGGTCAGCCCTTGAACTTCTGGACGGGCCAAGGGCACTTCCACCACGGCCTTGTTTGCGGGTCATTGGGCGAGCCAGGCCCTCTGCGCCTCTTCCCTGTTTCCCTGCCTGCCCTTCCCCCGCCCAGCAGCCCCTCCATCCTCTGCCATAGAGTCTCCACGGAGAGGCGTTTGCTGGGCCCTCCCACTGGGAAAGGCCGCCTGGCCAAGTGCGCTCGGGGGCGTGGTGCACAAGCCAGATGTGGCGTTTTCCTCCGCTGTCTGTCCACCTCTCAGCCACTCCTGCACGATGGTGGCTGCTCTTGGCAGTTTCCTTTTGAGGGTGGGCAGGGCCGTCGGTTGGGGGTGACGAGCCAGCTCTGAGTAACGCAGCGTTTCCTGTGTTGTCTCGCTCCAGAGGAGAAGCAGGCCGCGTGCACGGTGTCTCTGTCCCACGTGCTGCCCAGCTCGTTGGTGTACGGAGCCGACTGGTCCTGGCTCACCTGCCGTCGGCCGCACCCCCAGCAGCTTTCCCGACCAGGCTCCTCTCCCTGCAGCGACCCAGCTGCCACAGCAGATGATGCGGCTGCAGGCCAGTCGCCGGAGCCTCCCACTCTTGGTCGTGCAGCAGACGGCAGGAGAGGGAGTGGCACCGAGCCCCAGGACGAAAGCAAGGGAAGGGCTGCTCCCCCGCCGTCCACGGAGGGCCAGCCGCACGCCCCAGGGGCCAGGCTCTGTGACTCTGGCCGGTGTGCGGAGGCAGCGGACTGTGCCCCCAACCTCTTCGCCACGTGCTCCTTTTACGACCACGTCCTTCACCTCTGGAAGTGGGACCGGGCACCGGAGCCAGGGAGCAGAGGGCTTGGTTGGAACCCGTGAAGACCACGCCTGTGGATGAGCCGCCCTCACACCGTCGCGCCGAGGGGCTCACCGCAGTCCCTGTGGCTCACAGTGCGGGGCTCGCTGCGTGCGGGGGGCCCAGCGTGGGCAGCCAGCAAGGCCGTCGGCGCCCTGCGCTGGGCCTGGCCGCGGGGCCCTCGCGGAGGGCTCCTGCAGGGCCGTGGGGGCCTGTCCCGGTTCTCAAACTTCTTAGTTTTATGTGGGTTCAGATTTCACTTCTTTAAGCAATATTTGTAGCAAATGAAGTTTTGTTTTTCTTTAAATATTTTACTTATTTGTTCTTAGAGGTGAAGGTGGGGAGAGGGACAGAAACATTGATTGGTTGCCTCTCACACGCCCCCGACCAGGACTGAGCCCAAAGGACCAGTGGCCTTTCGCTTTGTGGGATGACACCCAACCCATGGGATCCACCAGTCGGGGCTAAATGAGGTGGTCTTTAAAAGCTATGATGTCACCAGACTAACCATATGCACTTTTAAGGAGATCACCTCACGAGGCACCAGGAGCACGCCTGCTCCCTGCCCTGCGCACCGAATGTGTGTGTCCTCGGGGTCATGGGCCGCTGACCGCACCTGCTTGTTGGGGCCCGCGGCCTGCAAATGCGGCCACCAGAAACGCAGACACACAGCTGGGCTCCTGACCCCCGACCTCCAGAGCTCACTGTCACCTGTCACAGGCCACTCGCATCTGTCACATCCTCAGCCTTGCTGATTATGAACAGACTATGATCGTGATCACTGTTGAGTCGGAAACAGGCACTTCTGGTTTTCTCATTTCCTTTAGATGTGACTCAACATGTCAGCGTAGGTCAGATGTGTTCAAAGGTTACTCTGTGCTACGGGATCAGTGCCCAGCGAGTGGCCCATTTATCTCAGAGAAATGGTGACCGGCCCCCCGCCCCCACCCCACCCCGACGCCTTTATTAAACACTGAGCAGAACGAGGGAGATCCGAGCGGCTGTCACTGAAACCGGCGGACGCAGAGGAGACGCTACACGTTACTCGAGAAGCCCTAGTTGTGGCTCAGCTTGTGGCGCAGCCTTGGCTTCGGTTTGCCCCGAAGGGAGTGGTTTCTTCCACTACGCGCCCACGCCCAGCTCCCGCGAACATGCCCACCGGCGGTTACCGGGAGCACCGGGTCCCCACACCCTGCGCGGCCGGGCCGCACGCGTCCTCCCACGATGAGCAGATGCCAGGACCGCACTCTGCGGGGCTACGGCCTTCACCAGGAACCGGGGAGGGGCACGGACGCCCGGGGCGCGGGGTCCCGAGTGTTAGGGTGGCGGGGACGCGGGCTGCGAAAGAACTCACAGGAGCAGGCAGCCAAGTTTTATTTCTCTGTTCCCAAGAGAGGGAACGGGCTCGGCGCGGAGGAAAGCACCAGCCCGGAGGGTCGGGCCGTTTTTATTGGATCGAAAAGGGGCGGGCCTTGCGGCAGGTAGTCTGGGCGCGTAGATGTCAGTCAGGAGGTCTCCTGCCGACGGCGCAGCTTCAGTTCCTTCGCTGTCGTCCTCGGGCTCAGGGACCCGGGCCTCCGGTCTGGCCCGTCCTAAGTGTTAAGACACCCGCGCGGGGGATGCTCCCGGTAACCCCTTCAGTCCCGAGCACGGAGGCTCGGAGAAACAGCAGCTGTTGCGCCTGGCGGACTCGAGGCAAGAGCGCGCTGGCGCCGGGGAGGAGGGCCCGGGAGGGGCTTTCTCGTCCCTCCGGCCGGCCGCTAGCGCGGGAAGTTCTTGGGGTACAGCTGGAAGAGCTTGCCCTCCTGCGTGGGCTCGAAGCCGTACTTCTCCAGGCGCTCGGGGTCGAAAGTGCCAGCCCGGAAGTCCCTCTCCACGGCGGGCGCCACCGCCTCCTGGAAGAGCCGCGCGGCCGTCAGCGGCACGTCGTCGCCGGCCGGGGCGCGGTAGCTCACGTAGGGCTTGAGCTTGAAGCCGGCCAAGTCGGGCACCACCAGCTCGGGCACCTTCTCCTTGACCAGCACGAACTTGCCCTCGCGGGACCGGACGCCGGTGCCCTTCGCGCCGCGGCTCTTGTAGAAGGTGCGCGGGCCGCGCTTGCTGGTCCACTGGCTCATCCGGTCGGCGCCGCGCACCACGCAGCGCGCCGCCGCGCTCAGCAGCCCCATGCCGCCGCCGCCGCCGCCGCCGCGCCCCGTGCGTCCCGCGCGCCGCGGTCTCCGCGCTCCGCTTCCGGCGCCTAGCGGCTTCCGGCGCCCGCCCCCGCCGCAGCAAGAGCCTCTCCGATTGGCTCCGTCGCGGCCTGTGGGGAGGCGGGACCACCGGGGGCCGGCCAATGCGCAGCGAGATCCGGCGCGGTGCGGGCGCCCGGAGCGCGGGCGCGGTGAGTCGCAGTCGGGCGCCGGGAGCTGGCGGGCCGGGTCCGGCCCTGTGGGGAAGGGGAGTCGGCAGTTCTGCGAGCCGGCGCCGGACGCACATGCCCGCCTCGGGGAACCGCAGCCCGCCACCCTCGGACCCCCCCACACCGGCCGTGCCCCCAGCCGATGTCCCCCATAACCCCGACGCCCCTTAAACGTCATACTCCTGTAATGTCAACGTTCCTGTAACGCCAACGCCCCCGCAACCCCGACACCCCTAAACACGATGCCCTGTAACACCGACGCCCCCTGCAACCCCAACACAACCTAAGCCCGACGATACTCTATCCCCAATGCTCCTGTAGCCATGAACCCCTCCAACCCCGAGGCCCCAGTGACACCGACGCCCCTGCACCTTCAACGTCCCCCTAACCTATGCTCTTGTAACCCTCATGCTCCTAAGCCTGACGCTTCCCTAACCCCGAAGCCCTCACAACCCCGATGGTCCCCTCACTCTGACCCCCCATAATATCCCTGTTTCCTAACCTATGTGTCCACCTCAAATACCGCCTCACACCTGCCATACCCCCAACCCTGACATCCCCTTTCACCCGCCGGCCCTGCTGCCAGGGCCCTCAGCTCTGCGCTGGGTCACCTTCCTGCTGGCCCCAAGCTGGCCCAGGCGCTGGTGGTGCCGAGCTCTGCCTCCCCCCGCCCCTCCCCCAGCCTGGGGACAGTGGGAGACAGACAGCGGCGGGGGCGGGGCGGCCCTCCCTCGCCGAGACTTGGCTGAGAAGGGTTCCCGCTGTGGGATGGGGGCGCTTGACCTGTGAGCCCGGGCACCTGACTCCACACCTGCCCTCCCCCCAACTCCTCCAGGTGGGGTTTTGGAAGTGACAAATGCTCTCTTGCTGCCACTCTCCTAAGAGAGCTGCAGGGCGGAGCCCCAGACCTGGCCTTTTGCTGCCAGAAAGAGGCCTGGCAAGCAGGCTGGTCCCCAAGTTCGTCGTCCCAGGGCCCAGCACACCCGCTTGGGGGCTCAGCCACACCGGGTGGGAGGCCCCCAGGCATAGACCCCTAGGGAGGGGCGGTGCCAAGGGCAGTGAGTAGCCTGCCCTCCTGGCCTCTGCCCAGCTCCGAGCTGCCATCGGCACCAGGCCTTGGCCCGGCTGCTCACTGCCCTTGGCCGGCCGGGACTTGGCTGCCGTCCTAGGTGCCTGAGTGGCCACGTGAGGGCTGTTTACGGAAAAGCAAGTGGCTCTGGTGCTTCTGAGAAGGCAGCTCCTCTCCACGGAGAAGTTTTCCGTGCCTTTGGCTGTCAATGAAGACGTAACTAAGGTGGAAAGGAACCTGGGGAAGGCAGGACGTGTCGCTCTCGCACGTGACTGAGTTGGAGGAACACCTGCCTTCCTTCGAACCAGTCTTTCCTCTTTTCACCTGGACTGTCTGCTTCCTTCTCAGCCATGGAGCAGGAGGAGGACGCCGGCCCGGAGGTACGGAGCCCGAGGGTTACGGGTGAACCCGGGCTGTCGTGTGCCTGGCTGGGGGCGTTCCTGCACTGGGACAGAGGGTCCGTGCGGCATCTGGGCCGCTCCTGGGGCCTGCGGAGCCGGCAGAGGCCCTGCGTCTCCCCCCACACCGCCCCTCCCCCGTCGATTCGATGCCTCAGGGCTCCAGCGAGAAGCTGGGAACTCTGAGAGGCCCTGCCACAGAGGCTGCGGGACACCGCGTGCCCTGCCCTCGGACAGCCCTGCTGTGCTGGGGGCGATGGGTGTGGTGCGGGGCCTGGGCACTCAGTGTGGGCCAGGAGGAGCGGGGGCCGCAGCTCTGGAGCAGAGAGCCCCGCTCCGCGTCCTCCTGCCTCCTGAACCGAGTGCAGAGGCCGAAAGTTCTGGACGCTCGTGTCCAAACGCAGCGCCGCGTGCGAGGTGCCGCTCCGAGTGCCCTTCTGTTTCTGTGGTTTTCTGGCCCTGGGCCACCGCTGCTCCTGGCTTTCTGGAGGGCGAGGCTCGCTGCTTTCGTCCTTGGGTTCTGCGGACCCTGGAGGGGTGAACACGGGCCGCCCAGTCCTGCCCTCGCTGCCTGGGGGGAGGCCCGTGGCCACGGAGGGGCCGAGACCAGCATGCGGCTGGTGTGCAGCTCGGGTTTTCCTCTTCACCTTCTCGGGGAATCGGCCAGCACCCTCCACGTGGATGGCGCAGCCTCTGCCCGCGCACCCTCAGAGCTCTCCGCGCCCCCTCCTCCCTCCTGGACTTCTGAGGCCAGGGCAGCTCTTCCCCTGGGGCGGGGGTGGGGCCGGGGTGGGGAGCAGGCTCACAGCCCGTCTCTGCTTGGAGCTACAATTCAATGTCCCCACAATCCAGATGGCTCCTTGGGGCCTCTCAGCGCTGCTGGTGCTTGGGCTTCTGTGTGCCCGGGGCCCGCGGTTGTGCTCCTGCCGGCGACCAGAGGGCACTGAGAGGCGCCCTTTGCCCCGCCGTGGTCAGCCGGGCCTTTTCCTCTGGGCCAGTGTCCTGCCTACGCAGAACGCGGATGTGTCCCTGCTTCAAGGAGTGTTTGCTGCTGACACAGCCCGGCTGCTGGCCCTGCCCGATGGTCCTGTGGGCGGCCCCGGATGCGGGCCTCTCGCCGAGATCCTGGGCTGTGGGCTCGGGCCCTCGGGTCCCGGAAGACGGCTTCTTCCCCGAGGCCCCTGCCCTGACCCGAAGCTCGGCGCTCACTGCCTGGGGAGGCCAGGCCCGCCATGCCCTCCTGACCGCGATGCTCTCCTGCAGGCCGGCGTCTGTCTGGGCACCGCCCTGCAGTCCTGGTGGCCGCAGGGGACCGAGCAGCAGGCACAGTCCACCATGGTAAGCGCCTCGCCCGGGCCCTCGCCCCCGGAGCACAGCCTGCGGGCGGGCAGGGTGGGCTCCCTGCGGCCCAGCTGACGGGCACCCGTCTGCCTCGCGCCCAGCTCACGGGGATGGCGATCGGCGCCCTCCTGGCCCTGGCCCTCGCTGGCGTCGCTGTCTTTCTCGTGTATAGGAGGGTCAACCAGCTCCGTGAGTGTGGTGCCTCTGACCATCTCCAGGGGGCGGGGCTGGGGCCAAGCCGGGGCGGGGGCTGGGGAGTGGCCCGCAGGCCCCGGACAGCTGCTGTTGGAAGTGGCTGGCTGTCCAGGCCGGGGCTGCGCACAGCGGACCCCAGGAGCTGGGTCTGTCCGAGCTGCCTCGGCGGCTTCTTGCAGCGGCCGTTCCTGCGTCCCCCGGGGGCTCTGTCAGCCCCGGGCGGGCGGGATGCTGCCGCTCCCCGGCCCCTGCCCCGGCCTGGCCGCGGGGTGATGCTGCGGCCGGGCTCAGGCGGCCCCTCTGCTCCCTCACAGGACAGGTGCAGCCCACCCCTCAGTACAGGTTCCGGAAGAGGGACAAAGTGATGTTCTACGGCCGGAAGATCATGAGGAAGGTAGCCTGGCTGCGCGCTCCCGCTCAGGGCGGCCTCCGTGCCCCGGCCTGGCGCCGGCGGGCCCGGGTCAGCCCCGCGCCAGGGCCGGCTCGCCGTGGCGCTGGGGCCCGGGAGGCCGCGTGGGCACATGCGCAGCGACCGAGGCCCTGGCGGCTGTCACTGTACGTTTGTTTGCTGGAAAAGAGGTTGGGAGGCCCCTTCTGGAAACACCCCTGGGGCCTGTGGCCGTGGAGCGTCCCGGCTCCAGGGCCGAGGTTTGGTCCCCAGGAGGTGGAAGGCTGCTCTGGTCCAGCTGTTCCTGATGACCCCCACCCGCTCCTACCCTGAGGTGCCCCGGCGAGTGGTGACTCACGTGGTCCAGTTACACGGTTGCTTCTTTTTCCGTGTGGAAAACTCGCAGGGTCGGACGAGGAGACGTGTGGGCGTCCGGTCGTGGGTCTGCTGCCCTGACCCGCGTCGGGGGCTGGGCATGGGCTACGGTGGCCGCTCAGGCCTGGGGCGCTGCCACGCTGGCTGTGTGGCAGGGCTGGGCCTGGCGTGCAGGGCGGTCGCACACGTCTTGAAAGAGTCTGTGCGCGTCGGGGAGGCTGTGCGCCCGGGGTCGCGCTGAGTTCTGCGCGGCCACCTGGGCCCCAGCAGAGGAGGACGGTGACGGGGTCCAGCAGTGCGGGGGTACCCAGTGGGGGTGGGCGTCTCGGTGACCACACGCCCACAGCGCAGCCGACCCCCGGGGCCCACACGCCCCAGAGAGCCGGGGGCAGCAGAAGGCTGGGGCTGCCCGAGGGGCCCGCTCTGCCCCCTCGCGCTGCTGCCTGCCCGCGATGGCCGAGGTGGCCCCAGTGGCCACGAGGGAGCCAAGAGCTCTCCAGACCCGCAGGGGCTGGGCTGGAGGGGGAGGGGCAGCGCCATCCTGGGGGGCACGGCACGGGAGCTCGGGGAAGGGGCGGGTGGGGGTCATTGTCCACAGCACCCAGGCTGGTCCCCGTGCCCCAGGCAGGCCGAGGGGCTCTCTCCGGGCTGTGACCTGGCCTGTCCCTCTGCAGGTGAGCACGCTCCCCAACACGCTCGTGGGGAGCACGGCCGTCCCCCGGCAGCGGATGAGGAAGAGGACCAAAGTGCTGTCTTTGGCTAAGAGGTAGGGGCCGCGCTCCCTGGGGCACCGCCGGCCCCCCAGCCGTGGGTCCACTCCAGAGCGGGGGTCTCTGCTCCGCAGGATCCTGCGCTTCAAGAAGGAGTGCCCGACCCTGCAGCCGAAGGAGCCCCCACCCTCCCTGCTGGAGGCCGACCTCACGGAGTTTGACGTGAAGAATTCGCACCTGCCCTCGGAAGTGCTGTACATGCTGAAGAACGTTCGGTAAGAGAAGCGGGACCTAGCGGGACGCAGGGGCCGCCTGCGCCAGGGCCCTCAGCCAGGTGTCCCGTGCTCCCTGCGCCGTTGCTCTG